TTTTAAATTAGCAAAACTAGATCTACATTATAATGCTGCTGCTAAAGTAGTTTCATTTCAGAAATTCCTTTATGGTAATAGCTGGATATAAATTGCCCTTGTGCTTTTGATTTTCAATCACTGAATCTGAAAACTCAGCAATAGCTTTGCATTTGAACTCTGAAGCACATAACATAATGGATATACTTGGGAAAAAAACAGGAAAGCTCTTAGAAATTGAAGGGGATTTTACTTCCTCCAAGACTCTAATAAAATACAAAACCAGTATTTATGGCCCAGACACGGTTGGCAAGATCTTGCTGTTGTACATTCTTGTGTATGTAGTTTTGTTTTGTATTATCATATTCTTTCTGCTTGATTTGATTGGATATTCTTCTTATAAATTAGGGCAACTTTTTTTTTCCTTCCCCCGAAGCGTGCTTTTTTTGTCCTAGGGTCTTCTGTTGTGAACCAGTTGTCTACAATTCATTTTTCATTACTTACTGAATGTATCAAACTGAATAGAAAGTGTTTATTTTGCATAATATTGGAGTGTCTCCCATATGTCTTTGTTGGTTTGCTAGGCTGCAGCCTATTAGTGCTTGAATTTACCTCTTCCCCTGCTCATAAATGGATTGTGTTGTATTAACTAAGGTTTGAAAATTAAATGGGAAATTGTTAGTTGTTTTTTAATGAGAACTTTCTGATACATTTTCTTTGAATCTGTAGGTAAAAAAGCAAGTCATTTGCATAAGAACACAAAGATGTGCAGTATTTTTAAATGTTGCTAACACCTGATGTTGCCTGCTTATAATGCTGAATGGCTTGCATATTAATTTCTACAGTAGACCCTCAATCGTTTCCTATAACTTCATACTATACAAATGTCAGAGATGAAATATTTTGGTCTTTATGTTTATACATGGGCTTCTAAGGTAGAATGTCTTGTGGTGTTCGCTTCCAAAGCCAAATTAGCTTTCTGTTCCATTTTATCCCAAGGAGGAGGACTATCCAGGAGCTATTCAACTGTGTTTGGAATGCCAGAAAGCTGCCAGCACTTTCAAACACTACAGTTGTATAAGGTGAGGTGACATTGTGCTGATCTCACCTTCTGGATAATATATGTAAATGATACAAGGCAGTGATGATGATTATTTCTCATTCTCTAAAGCAATTTTGATTTAAACTTAATTTTCTTCTTAGAAAAGTAAAGTTGAAGGATTTATAAAAGTATAAAGACCCTCAGTGGTGCTGTTCCCCCATACCACTACTAACAAATCCCTACTAACACTATATAACCTCTGCCTGGTCTGTGTCGCTGTTTTCTAACTGTTGTAATATGTTGGCAGGTAAAGTTTTGGCTAAGACTGTTATGACTGTGCTACAGTTGCTACAGTTTGCAGAGCGGATAATTTTTAATTAGGAAGCTTATAATCTGAAATTAATTAACCTTCAGTAAAATGATTTTGGATGGGCAACTTACCGTGAGTCTTGGTGATGAAATTAGCTAATGTACAGCTTTGTTCCATTGAGGAGAAATTGCTTTCAGAACTGAAACTAATCAGTATGTCTACAGTTTCTAGTTTAGAAATACTTCCTTTTTGTTTTTAATGAAACAAAAAATAATTGGCTGTTCTATAAATGTATGATTTGTTGCAACTTCAGAGTAATTATCCGTAATGACTGATTTTAGTTTAGGTTCTGCTTTTGAGGTGTGATGGTTCTTGAGGTGTGGTTGTTCCAAGCCAGGCTGAATGGGGCTTTGAGCAACCTGCTCTAGAGGGAGGTGTCCCTGCCTACAACTCAGGATTGGGACTAGATGATATTTTTTGATATTTTGATATTTTTTTATGATATTACTTTCCAACTAAAACCATTCTGTGATTCTATGATTCTAAGAATCCAGAGATGAAAAAATTGTGTGAGCTTGGAAATTCTGCCCAGAAATAAGCCTCTCCCTGTTCTTTATTTTGAAAAACTCCCTCCTATTTAGTTCTATAAAACTTGTGGATGTTCAGTCAACATCTGCTAACATTACTAGCCACAATTTTTATTTGAAAATATAAGTCAAAGTCTTCTGTTTTCTGCTTGTTGATGAGTTTCAATGGGAGTAGACTCCCTTGAAAAACATTTAGAAAGATGGAGTGTCAAAAAATAGGCCCACTCTATCTATTGCTTTTGTGTTCAAACATTCCATTATATCACAATAAATGTACTTTCTAGAAATGTGCTGAATCAGATTTGTATGAATGAGGATGCAAAAAACACTTTTAATACAAGTTCTAATTCGGGATTCATTTCATTCATAAAGTCTTTATTATCATAGTAGGACTTTCATAATAATCATGTAGTCATTATGTCTGAGGTTAATAAGTGTGGCTTAGAAAATATGTAAGCTTTTAGCTGGACTCTGCATTTGTATATTTTCAGTTCAGTACTTGATCAAAGTTAGATTTCTTCTGGAATCTTGGGATTGCACCTCCTTCTCTAAAATTGCCAACATAAATGTAGGGTGTATTCTTGCAAACACTTGTCTGTTTTTACTTAGTCAAATAAATAAACTATGAACATGTGTATTTAAATTTAGTGATTGAGCTTGAATGGAAAGACAACACTGTTACATAGTTTCACTAACTGGTATCAGTAAGAAATAGGATGTGGTTTTACCTTGATTGCATGTTACGTAGAACTAGATCTTTAATATTCCTCCCCCTATTTCTTTCCCAAAAGAAAGGAGACGTATATCATTCCAAAATGGTTCAGATCTTGGGATGTTTGCTGAGATTTGTGACGTTTAGGCTTCTGATGTGCCCAGATGTCCTGCTTTGGCAGATGATTGCAAATGGAGGCTTACCTCATGTTAGGAGTATGGCATAGTGGAAATAAGGAATGAGTTTTTATGAGGATCAGTGCTGGTATACAGCTGAAATTAGTCAGATGTGGACAACTGCAACAAGTGGGAATTGGTTTCAGGAGCCCAAGAAGTTTTTCAGCCCTGTAGTGCAGTAGTAAAACAAGTTCTCTGTGTGTGAGCATGTAAGTTGCCTGGTGGACGTGGAAAATTCTAACTACATCAAAGATAAAGATAGATAAAATAAATGCTGGATTAGCAGCAGCATGCTCATGACATTTATTTGACAGGAATCAGTCTTGTGTTTATGGGATGCCTTCTACTGTTAGGGGTTTTGTGAATTTTTCGTAGGACTAAACCAGTACAGCTGCTTAATTTGTTCTGACTACCTGTGCTTTAAACTGCATTTACTGACGTCAGCACTTTCTGCATTTCAGACCTGTTAATGTAAAACAACTAGATTTTTGTACACTGGGGGTTTTGTGCTATGCCTAGTTCTAAAGCAGGAGTGCTTCTGTGCAAAAAGCAGGATTCTTACGCTTGTTCTAATTTCTTTTTGCTAGGTAAAAGATCTAGAGTGTAGTAAGTGTTCCTAAACTCCAGCAAAATATGATGTGAAATTGTTGTGAAGGCTTTTCTGTTTGGAAGCTTGTTGCTTAAGAATAAACAACAAAGAATGATTGGCTACTTGATTTTTAGAGTTTAATGATGACCTTTTCTCGTATTTTATTTATTTATTTATTCTTATTTAAGCCTTTGGAAGGTGTTCTTTCCAGGTTATCTAACAACTAAAAATGGAGGGATGATGGGCATATAATGTAAGGGGAGAGAACTAGGTAAGGAAGCTAGAATCTTGTGATAGTTAATGTAGACCCTTAGGAAAAGATGCAGAACATAGAAGTAAGTTGCCTTAAGTTAGGTAAGGTGATTATCCCATCAAAACTGTGCTTTCTGTGCTGGAGAGGATATCCTGCCTATTTCTTCTGCTTGAAGCTCCCAAACAAAAACATGTTCACTACGTTTTGTGTCTTATTTTTGTCAGCTGGTGTTCCAAAATTTTAGAAGTGAATTTTTGGAAGGGAAGAGTTTTGCTTTCCTTGTCCAAAATGGATTATCTTATGGTAGCTGTTTTTGTTAATCTTTCTATGCCACATTCAGCTCAGACAGGTGAACTGAAGGTCTTAAAAAGATTTTCTGACAGTTACGTAAGCTTAGGTTCTGACTTTTTCTTTGAAATTTAAATAAACATTTTTGCTTTAGTGTCTCTATAAAGGATTCCTGACAGTGAGAGGAACTTATTATACCACAGATTGCAAAGACTTGACAGCCTTGATCTTTTTGGTTATCTTCTGCTAGATACCTGAGGGCTGAATTGAAACCTATAGAGCACAAGTTTCTGTGGGTTTGGAAATATCTTTGAATACTCAGATAAATCCCACAGACGATCTTTTAATGCTGTTGTTTTATAAACCAATGAAAATGTGCTTCTGTAACAGATAATTTTATTTGAAGTGTTAAGAGTACTGCACTGTTGGTATGATCAGTATTTTGATTTCAAACATTATTTTTTCTTTCATTAATAGTGAGTTGAATTCAAAACTGCAAGATACTTTGGAACAAATAGAGGTAAGAATGAATACGTTGGTTTAGTACGTATTAGTAGCTAACCTCTAGATATTAGCTTATTTAGCATTAGATATTTCTAATGTACCGCCTTAGCAATTACTCAGCAATTACTGAATGTGCATATTTTTTCAAGTGTGGTGATTGGAATGCTATAGTCATTGCTATTCCTGTAGCCTTTTGTGCTGAAGTATACATAAATACTTTATAATATGGCATCAAATTTATGAGCTCAGCTTGCTAATCGTGCCAACGTTAATTGGTATAGCAATCCAATAAAATAGACATGTATATTTGAAGTACTAGAGCAAAGATATCTCCATGTATGATAAAGATGCACAGTGGTTTACTGCTGTGAATTTAGTCCTATAAAATTGTGAAAAGTAACCATGAGCAGCATACCAATAATAGGTTTGGATAAGCTGTATGAGAAATGAATTCCACTGGAAACTTTAGAGGTCAGAAGACTGGAAGCTGATGTGGAGGGCCAGTGTTAAGCCATAGCAAATAAGACTTGAATAGCTGGGACAGATATGACTAAGATGATCTGTTGAATGAATAAAAGCATATAGGAAGTAAAGAATCCTGTGGTTTATCTTTGCAAGAGCAAACTACATTGTAATACCCTTAACTGATAAGAACTTTGAAGTCAGAAGATATTAAATCTGTATAATAGGTTGCAATTTGAGAATAAGAAGTCTATAAATGTATTGTTTGAGCTGAAATGCTTTTGAAACTTTTTCTTTTTTTTTTTTTCCCAGTACTAGGTGTTTCTTAGAAGTGGTAGCAGACCAAGTTAGAAATCTCAGCTCCCCCATATTGGGTTGCTAAACCTTTACAAAGTAATGTACTTCTTGCTGTACTTGTTTTTGGAAATGGTGGAGCCATTTGCCTGGCAGAAATTTCAGACTGAAGTGGTGCATTGGCAATAGATAACATTTTAGCGCCTGAAAATAGTCCAGTCTTGTCTGTTTTACATGCATAGTTATCAGCAGTTAAATACACTTATTTTCCTCATTTGTTGTTGTTTGATATACTCAGCTTGATGTTTAACACATTGTTTTGTCTTTCTTTACATAGGAACAATTGGATGTAGCACTCTCCAAGATATGTAAGAACTTTGATATCAATCATTATACAAAGGTTCAGCAGGCTTACAGGCTGCTTGGGAAAACACAGGTTAGTATTTGTGTTCTGAGTAAGTTGTAAAGACTGGTGGTTTAAGAGTGTGAAAATCTGAGTACTGTGATGGAAATTTCTTCTTCTAATGCTAATCAGTCTTGCTGTATATATTTACAGAGGCTCAGCTATATTAATGGTAATTGCTAAAGGTAAACCAAGCAACGCTAACACGTAAGATTTGGGATATGCTATGACTGTAATAAATCAATATTTCACCTCCTTATGTGATGCTTTATGCATTATTAATTATACCTGGACTTGTGAGTGCTATTTTTTTTTTAATATACTGAACTGTGTACAACCTGCACCTTGTTATGTATACATTCCTGCTTCATATTGTACTTGAATGTGATGGAAATGAAGATGTGAGATTATTTATTTATTTTGCAACAAATAAAGAAATGAAATAAGGTACGAAAGGAGGAAGCCCTGCAGGCAGTTCTCATCTGTGATGTTTTCATAACGTGACGTTAAACATGGTGGTGCCAGTGTAGCAGTGACATGCCAGCTTAGAGAAGAGATTCCCTCAGAAAGCATTAGCTGCAGACAGTCACATCAGTGTCTGTCTCCTGCTAAAAGCAGAACAAGAACTCCATTCTGTTACGAGTTCTTGTTTTTTCTTCTTTTTTCCTTTTTTAAAGCTTATTCCCAATATTCAGGACAAGGGCTGGCATTAGGATGCCTTTTTTGGTTTTGTCTTCAAATTTTTTATTTGTTTATTTTCCTTTCTAATTAGAACCCTTAGAGCAAAGTTGGGTTCCTACTGTGATAACAGTATAGTTTTGCAATAGAACAGAAATTAATTTATTTTCCCCTCCTTTAACAATGTGCAGAATTATTGGAATGCCTGAAGACTGCAACTTGAAGTCAAGGAGAGAAGATTAGTTGGACTTTTCCTTTTTAGTGCTTTGTATTCAATTTCTTTCTTTACAGAATGAGAAACATTAAAAGCAGACATAATACATTCACTGCTTCAGTCTAGTGCATGATATGCTGAGAAAGGCAGATTTTTTTTGGAAAGGAATGACGTTTCTGAGCAAGACATAGGAGCAAAAGAGTGATTGTGGTCAGATAGAAGCAGAATTGCTTATTAATTTCCTGTGTCACTACAGAACTTCTTGATTCTGGTCAGTAGCTAAGAATGTCAGATGGCAAGTACCAAAACTGAACATTTTCAGATCCACAGGATCTGATAACTTCCATTCTGGCACGTAAAATAGTTTTTTCATCAGTTCTCTCATACCATATATAATTATTATTAGCGTATCTTGAAACAGCAAGAAAATAAGTTGTCTGAAATGGACTCAGATTGTGTACAGCTCCTTAACAAAGGGTAAGTGGGGTAATTATGAAACAGCTCAACCTAAAACATGTTTTACAGTTATTTGGTTTTAGTACATGTGCTGATACTTTTTGTTTTCTTAAAAAAGTAAATTTTTTAAAAGCAAACTTCATTCTTTGCTTTGAAGACAAAACCAAAAAAGGCAACCTAATACCATCATTCTTTGCTTATATTGCAAGGAAAGGTTTGGTAAGGAGAAACGTTTCGATATGACAGGCTTTCTGCCTGCTGCTTGTTCTCTACATTGTATTCTAAAAGGAAGAACTCAGTGTACCAAGAGGATAAATGCAGCACTTTGGTTGTGATTTTAGTTTTATTAATTGCAAAGGCATTATTATTCTTTTAGTTGGAAGTGTTTCCAGTGGGGGAAAAAAAAGAAACCAATAATCTCAGCCCATTGTTTTTAGACAAATTGGTCAATGATTATTTGATTTTTTTGCTTTTCCTTTTCTTTCAGACAGCAATGGACCAATTGCACATGCACTTCACTCAAGCTATTCACAACACTGTGTTTCAAGTAGTGCTTGGATATGTGGAGCTTTGTGCAGGAAACACTGACACCAAGTTTCAGAAGTTACAATACAAAGACCTCTGTACAGTACGTAATTCTTGCATAAATACGTACTTTTTAATCTAAAATTTTCCTCTGTTGTAAGTATCCCATATCTAAGTGAGTACTCAGATATAATAGCTGTGAGATTATTTTAATAATTTGTTAATACAAATCATAGACTAATTGAGAGGTTGTTTGTTTTGAACTTAATGTTGATTTTGATGGAATTGAATCGTAGTACTTTGGTATTAATGTACACATCACCTGAATAAATGCAAAGAAGTAAACAGTAGGATACAAACAGGAGGTTAATGCTTCAAAACTCCTATGTTTTCTTCACAGCAAGTGAGATAATTGTGACTTTGCATTTCCCACTCAGATGAGCAATTTTACTCTCTTCTCTTTACGTAGAGCCATTCTTAAATAAATCCCTTTACCTGAAAATCTCATCTTAGAAATTTCTACTGCATACTTAACACTTTCACAGATTTGATGCTCTTCACCTAATGAATGTCTTATATTACAATTGGCTCTTTGGAGCAGAGTGGCTCAGTGATGTAGGCCAGCTGTCACCTGTGTTATCTGTTTTTACCTGCTTGAGATATAAAGCACTGGATCCAATGGGCCATCAGCCAGGATGGCTACTATGTAATGCTGAAGTCTAAATACATTTTTGAACTGAAGCAGTGCCCCTATACTGCAGGGATGACTGCAGCTATTTTTCATTATGAGACATCCTCAACATTAGACTGTACAGCTTCTCTTCTGTATTTACTTGGCTGTTCTACGAATGTGAGAAGGATGATAATCTCAGTCAATTAAAAAAAAAAAAAAAAGCAATAAGAAATAAACTTTGCGGTTTTAGACAATGTTTAATCAACTGACTAACATCAGGCATTTGTCAACTCTCCAATACTTTGATATACATCAAGGACTGTAACTGTCTGAATATGGAGGTGTCTGTATGGTTTATATTGCTTCTGCAAATGATGAATGTGACTGGTAACAGCTTCACAATATTATTTTTCATAGCATATTACATCAGACAGCTACATTCCATGCCTTGCTGATCTCTGCAAAGCCCTTTGGGAAGTCATGCTCAGCTATTACCGAACGATGCAGTGGCATGAGAATCATGATCAAGAAGAGGCAGCAACTGTGTCTTCTGGTAAGAAATAATTCTGGAAACAACTTTTGATACTTGGAAATAACTTTTCTTGTGCGCAATTAATTAATTGCTATTTAGATACTTTTGTGATCTTGGCTTACTGCCCCCCAGCCAGTTATAATTCATAGTGAGCAGAAAGGACTTAAATATTCTCTGATTTTTTGTAGTTTTCAGCATAACCTCTTTTAAAATAAACGTGTATGTGCCATTACTGCAGTTATAACAGTTTTAATTCAAATAGTATTTGTTGTTTGCTCAGAAGTCTGCTATGGTAGATGAATATAAAATCTGAGGAGTTTTTCCTTTAATATGAGATGGGCATGTAATTTTAGATTTTTTGATCAGTGTTGAAAACTTTTCTGCATATTAAACTTAGTAGATTGGGATACTGCACTATATACTAGGAAAGGGGACTGAATGAATCTGTTGAAAGCAGCAGTTGTAATTTTCAGGAAAAGTAATTTTTAAAATGTTGCTTGTCATCTCTACTACTGAAACTTATTGTAAGGTATAGGCACAACTGGCACTCTTGACACCCTCTCAGCTAAAAGCCATAGTTTTATCATACAGTATCATTCTGTTTTTGTTCTGTTGTTGTTCCAGTTTGTGTTTTTAGGAGAGAAACACAAAACCTTAATCTGTCTTTTCATTTCAGTCTTTCTGGGTACATTTTCTGGACATATGTTAATATAAAAGAACAGACTTTTTTTTATTTCTCCATCAACCCAAGAAGCTGCTTTTTGGCAGTGACATTTACAGTATTGAGATTTATTCAAAGCTCTTACTTATCTGAATCAGGTGGGATTTGTCTTGTCTTTCTAGTCTGCACATAGAAAAAAACACTTCTGTCAAAGGGCAAGGAGTGTAGACTGCTTCTGCAATTACTCTGCCTTGCCTGATTTACATAAAACTTTTATTGTTTACATTAGACTGTGAGTGAAAAGAAAAAAATAAATTAGAACTGGAAGTGAAGAATAAGTGATGGAAGACTGTGCTTCCTAGAGTACATTTGTAATTCAGTGTTTCTTTCAAAAATTGGATTTCTTACAGATTTTAAGCCGTAAAAAGAATAAGATTTAACTAATATTGTCTTATTTTAAATGTAGAAAAAACATAATCTAAATATTTGTAATGTAAATTGCAAGAAGTGTGATAGAATGTAAATACAAGACAGTATCATTCTGGTATGGAATCTTATGTGTATTTTTAAAAACTTTTAAAATGAAACTTTTCTACGTATTTCAGAATTAAAGTTCAGACTTGAAATGTTTCATTTTGAGATGCACCTTGTGAGGGAAGATTCTGAAATTTTGAATGAATCACACCTTCTCAATAATCTTTACTTTAAAATAAGTTCTGAAAGGCTCATCTCCATTTGTTTTGATTTTGTCACCTTTGAAGTGTTAAATAAAGCAGATGTTATGAAGAGCTTGTTATAAAGAAATGTTATTGTAGTAGACCACTTTCTCAGCTCCATGTGTAACTTTAAAAATAGTTCCTCTTAGTGTGTTTGCTTTTGGTTCTCCAAAAGAAAGAAAATTATTTGTACTACAAAACATTTTGAAAGTGCCGGTAAGCATAATAAAGTTCTGTATTCAATCACGACTCATTCTAAACACATTGCTTTAAAAAGACACTGTGGTGGATTCTGGTATGTTTAGTACTAATTCACTAAATCTTCTGTCACTCGATTTTTGAGTTGCTGGAAACTCTGTGGCTTAGCTGTAACATACTGTACAGGTGGAATATATTTGAGCTACTGTATCACTTTTTCAAGAACCTCAGCAATGAGAAAGCATACAAAAGGAAATTTGTATGCTTTCAGAGGGATTATAAATTTCTACCAAATGTCTGGGTTGTTTTTTTTTTCTTCCCCTAAATCTGTTGCTCATGGTGAAGTGATTATTTATTGATTTAATAACTGTAATATGTGCTCAAGCCAGAGAGTTAAATTTCTTTAGGTTGTGATGGTGTGTCAGAAGGAACCAAGGAGGCAGTTCACTAAAATTTTATTGAATATGTTTCCTCAATTAAACAATATAGATTGGAACAGTAGAAGCAGCAGTCTAACTGATGCATATGTACATGGCATTTTATCATTTTTTAAATCAACTTTTAACTCAAAACTGTCCCAGTGTATTTCTCGTGTTGTGCTAATGTCAGCAGTCTTGCAAAATATTTTAAATGGATCAAGGTGCTCTTGATAGACTTGAGGCACAAACCGAGCTGTAGAACCTAGAAACTGGACTTAAGAGGCATTAATTTCAGAGGTCTTTCTACTTTAATCGTGGAGCTCATTCAAAAGAAGTCCCTCATGGATTCGGGAAAGGAGGCTGCACTTCATATAGATCACAAATAAGTGACAAGTTATAAGTAATGCCTGTTATAGATGCTAAAAATGTGCTTTTTGTTTTTATAACATGTAAATGTTTGCCTTCCTGCGTTTCTGAGGAAAGAAGTGCATCTGCTTTGTGTTAGTAAATATTCTGCTTATTTCTGTTGTGAAGACTGATGTGAGACTGAGGAGCAAAGTAGAATAGAAAATACTTTCACCATGTTTTTTTTTCTGTTTGTTTGTTTGGAGCACTTATAGAAGATTCTTGGAAACTGAGGATTTTGTTTTTTATAAAGTCATATAGAATGGTTTGGATTGGAATGGGCCTTAAAGATCACCTACTTCAAATCCCCCTGATGTGGGCCGAATTGCCACCCACTAGATTCGTTGCTTCAAGTCCCATCCCTGCATGGCCTTGAATGCTTCCTGGGATGGAGCATCCACAACTCTGGGCAACATGTTCCAGTTCCTTACTACCCTTGTAGTAACAAGATATTAGAGACCAGATCAGTTGAACCAGAAACAAGGGAGTGAATAGTTTTCCCAGGTACTGAAAACTAGCTGGGGGTTGTAGGAGAGATGGAAAGACAGGTCTGATCTGCTTGGCAATGCTGAAATATTGCAGGTAATCTTAATTCTTATATTTTCAACTTCCTGAATGATGGAGTGGAAGGAACACTGTATGCTTGGTAATATTCCAGTGAAGTATTTTATATGGATTACATTTTATTTTTCATATCAAATCACTGAATGGTTTGCATCATTTTTCCACTTGTCAGGAACAGCACATGAGGTTTTCTTTGTTTCTTGGTTCTATCATAAAAAAAAAAAGTTGTGTAGTTTCACAAAGCTAGAGATTTTGCATGAAACAGGCTGTGACACTGTACCATCACAGACTGCAAGCATAACCACAACTGTATGATAAAAAAAATTACAATTAAATTTTAAAAAGGAGAGGGTAAAAATGTATCTTTTCTATTGGAGCAAAGAAGATCACACACAGGAGGAAGGCGGTCTAGAGCTGTAGAAATGAACTTTTTAGAATTAAATACTATAATTTTAAAGAATGAAAGACATCTAAGGAGATGTTTATGAAATTATTTCATGCACAAGCAGGGATTAGTGTGAGAGTGGGGAAAAAAAAAAAAAAGAAGCATGCTATCTTGTTTACATAGTTCATGGAAAAAGTTTTGGTGATTTCCCCCAGAATCACAGCCAGAATGTACTGAGATAGAAAGTTAGAGATCATACTCCTGATATGTTTAATTTTATGTGTCTCATCTGCAAAGCTAGAATAGCTTAGAGAACCTAGAGGATAAGCAGCTGTTAATTTGTCAACTTTGTATTTGAAAGATCAGTTACTCTCTTATTTTGATTCTTTTGAATGGGTATCTTGCTTATATAAAAGTAATCAGAAGCTCTTCTTGTCTGTATTAACATACAGTATTTTTGTGTGCTCTATTTATTTTTTTCTGCAATGGAGCTCTCCTGGAGTTTGTGTACTTGGGGTGATATAATAATGGCTAAGGCAGAAGTTTTGTTATTGCTGGGTACATTTCAAGGCTTTTGAAAATGTCTTTAATACCTTCTATTTCAGTTTCAGACAACAGCAGTGTGGTTGGAACTGAGGAAAACAGTTTTGACCGTAGCTATGTAAAAAAGAAATTGGAACATGGGCTTTCACGAATATGGCAGGTATGTTTTTTAATTGTCTTAATGTTTATTGCTACCAGTAAAAATGAGTTATATTTATACTGATCTTTGTTAAAGAGATTTTTCAAAAATAATCTGCTTTGAGCTAAATATTATAAAAAACATGGAAATAAAATTTCCATGATTCTGTTACTACTTGGTCACGCTACTTACAAACTCAGTAAAGCTACCAAAGCACAGTAACATGACTCTCAGCCAGTACCACCTGTTTGCTGCTTCGTAGCACAATCTATTTTGTTCTCATTTCCTTTTTTTGTTCTGTTAAAGCAGTCATACTATTGTACTGCTTGGATAAGGCATCTTGAAATTTGTGACTCCCTCGGTTTTGAACTGGACAGCTGATGGTGATGGAAGTGCTGCAAACCGTTTAATAAATATGAGCAGTGGGGAACTACAGTTTCCAAGATGTACAAGGAGCCTTATTGGTCTCTTTTCCAATGCATACTATAGCATTTCTGAACTGGTTTGGGATATGTTGTGATATGTTGTGAGAAGAATTAAAAAAAAAAAAAAAAAAAAAAGGAATAAACATGAAATTGAACATGGAAAAACTGAAACTCAGAACTGAAGAATGGTTTTTGATGTCCTTTCTGGTGCAAGCAGAACTATGGAGAACGTGAAATCTTGTAAGCCTGCCTGGTTTCATAATATTCTTAGCTGGATCATTTTAATATGTCACAAGACCCAGAACATGTGGTTAAAAAGAAATAATCCTTTTATCTTGCAGAATAGTAATACAAAGCTTGGCTTTTTCAAGTGCTATAAGGTGTATAGCATTATTATTGTATTGTTGAACTGATTATATCATTGTTTAAGAAAGTCAACAGGAAGTAGTTAATGTTACAGAAAATGGAATTGTATACTATACCTCAAAAAGAAGGTATAAGTGAAAACAAACCAAAAAGTGTGCATTAATGTGGCATCCAAGCATTTGTCTTATTGTCTTTAGTGTACTTAGTAAATAGAACCTCATATTTTGCTTATAAACTTACTGAAGATTCATTAAATGGTTCTGAAATGTTTGTGTTTCTGTAGGATGTTCAACTGAAAGTGAAAACGTACCTTCTGGGAACAGATCTGTCTAACTTCAAATATGATGACTTCATATTTGTACTTGATGTTATCAGCAGGTATACTGACGTGGTCATAAGGCCACTTATTGCATGCAGACAAACTTCAACTCTGATACAAAGACAGCACATGATTAACTAAGACTGATATTTACATTCTGATGCTAACTTTGATCCTATCTACTGAAGCAGAGTTTAAAGAGTGCTCCTCTTTATGTAAGAATCTGAGCACCAGTTGTGCTGCCTGCACCAAGGCTGTATTTGGGAGAGGTAGCATGAATTGCTTTGCTGCTCAAGTAGCCTCTAAGTGTGATAATATTTGAATGTTGGCCAGTTTTAAAATTTCAGGAACATAGACCTGACAGTTCCGATTTTTCTAAAACCTTTAAAAGGGTTTCTTGATCAAGAGCAGCAAAATATTGCAGTACCCTTACTTAGTCTGTACATTACTGTACATTACATTACTTTCTGTTTTGGTAATAAAACGATGGATTCAGTTTTGAGGTGTATAGTGGATATTTGTTGTCACTGAGTATAGGATATAAAGGTAGGATTTGGAGGAAAATGAGACACAGAGTTTTGTAAAATGAGTGAAGGGTTTACAGTGTAACTTCTCTTGAGATAATGAGTGAGGCTAGAAATCTGGATAGGAACAGCAGTACTAATAAATCAATAAATATTTCTAAACTTTGCTTTATTACTACAGGCTGATGCAAGTTGGAGAAGAATTTTGTGGCAGTAAGTCTGAAGTTTTGCAAGAATCTATCAGAAAACAAAGCGTTAACTATTTCAAAACATACCACAGGTGAGACTACTCTATGCACAGTGAATGAGTGTAATGATATTTATTATCATTGGTTTTAGTTTTAAGTGAATTCCAGAGGAATTCCATTGAATAATGTTCCACATTGAGATTGATAGGTTTCATTGATAGTGGAATATGTTTTGTGATGAGAAAAGAGCTCTGAACCCTGGAGAAGGGAAGAAGATGGAAAAGCCAGAAGTTTCTGCTATCTGAATAAAGATGAAAAACTGTGTAATGTTTTGGTAGTTTTAAAGGCTGTCTCCTAATCTTTCTTGGGGGATTCTGAGAATGAATTCATATAATGTCCATACATCCTGGCAAAGTTGTTATTTCTTTTTCTGGTATTACATTAAAAGATCTGTCATGTGTGGCTGTGATTTTTTTTTTTTTTTTTTAAATAAGCAATTTTATCTTATCAAGGTACTTAGAACTATATCCATTCTTTAGAGTCATTTTCCACGTTCTTTCATTGACAGTATCTAATTATTTTTCAAACAGAGCTGCTTTGGCCTCAGTCTCTGCCCTCGTGTATTCAAACAATGTTCCCAAATGTTTTGATTTGGGGACTTACAGATCTTTCATTTTAGTTACCAAGCATTTATTTTTCTGACTTTAAGTAGCTAGAAGATATAAGAAGAAATCCAACATTGTTCTTTCCTCTAAGAAGTTCTTAGTTCCTCAGTCTTGATCTGTTCTCCTCCATGACCCATTTTGGAGAACCTACTTTAACAGGGGAGTTAGACTCAATGAGCTCTTGAGGTTTCTTCCAACCCCTGCAATTCTGTGATTGTCTGGGATCTGTTTTATTAGTATATAGCTAAAACATCGATTTGGTCTGAGACTTTCTGCCTAAAATTCATTAAGTATGGGAAATTATGATATGTTGTATGTAAGACGCTGTCTAAATTCAGAAGCTGAGAATGTGCTTTGGATTTTCTTCTGACTTTGTTAGTTTATAGCTATGATTTCTTTTCATTCATTAAATGAAGACCTCTGTTTCAACTGTCTGAAAAGCTAGAACCTTAATCACATGCACTGTCTTGTTAGGAGATGAGTTATAATCTGAGAATCAGGAGTCCAACTCTGGCTTCCACACAGCACCTCTGAAAATTCAAACTCTGTCTGATAGCATTGTCCAAACCCTTCTTGAACTTCAGAAGCTTGGGGCCCTGACCATTTCCCAGGGAGCCTCTTCCAGTCCCTGACCACTTATGGTGAAGAACCTTTCCCTAATACCGAACTGAACTCTCCCCTGAGAGCTCCGTGCCGTTCCCTTAGTCCTGTTTCAGTCACCAGATGACCTCAGCTGCTCCTCATATGTGTTTGCTCTCTATAATCTTCACCATCTTCACAGTTGATTAAGATGCAGTGCAACTTTTCTGTTTCCTAAAAGCATTTCTGAACGCTGAGCTGAATTTACTGTACTGCTTTGGAAACTGACATTGCAGCTGTTGATTCTTATGATAAGAACTGTTTGAGAAGAACTCATGGCAACTCTGTGGGAAGCACCCTGAATCTTTTCACCTAGCTTGCTGTATGCTTTATTTTTCAGCATCTCTCTTCTACTCAGAAAAGCTGTTTTGGTCTATCTAAACCTCTTTTATTCATTGATGTAGCACAATACCCTGCCTAATTAAATAATTATTGTTTGATTGTTGTGGTTTTGATTTTGATGATCTAACAGCTTAGGGAGTAAGAGACTAATTGCTAAATTATCTTCAGACAAAATAAAGATTAAGGAATGAAATATTTAATGAAATTAAATTGAAATTATTTAAGGAATGAAATTATTTAATGAAATATTTCAAAAAACAATTACTTCTACATATAACTTGTGTTTTCTTATTAAGGTAGTGCTTTCTGTCATTATTGTGAGAATAAAAGCAGTATGTGCTGCTGAGATGCATGTTATGTTAACTTTTTAATACTTTCACCTGTTCTTTGCTGTATGAATGTTGTGGAGATTATTGGTTTATGTTTTCATCCTCAAAAGGCAGGGAAAAATAAGCACAAAACAAAACAAAGAAAAAAAAGCACCTCTATTCCAGTTATATCCTTCAGACTGGTTTATATAAAAGCTTTAAATGTCTCAACTTTTCAGATCAAGCTGATGTGGCTTGCAGTCCCTTTATATACTTAATTTAGGAGAAAAAAAGATAGTGCTTTTAAGAATTCATTAACACATAAAAGCTACATAGAACAGAAATGCTCTGAGTCCAGGAGTAATGAGTTCTTTGATTGTGTCATTTAGCATATGTGGCCTCCTACGTGCTGTGGTGTTTTAGAGAACTAGCAACATAGAGAAAATGCTCAAAGGAACTGATCATGTAATTCATCAAGAGTGGAAAAGCAGTGTAATACAAGGGTGCATGAAGCCTTTTATTGGGTAAAAGTTGATTATTTGGAAAAAAATAAAATGGGCTTTTGGCAGTGAATATCAAAAAGGGGATTTTAGAATGCAATTGACTTTCCTTTCTGATGCATTTGTTAAAAGGTGCATCCACCAAAGATTTTCAGAGAAAGAATGCATTATGCCTTCTACTTGTACCACTTTCTAGGCTTATTTGCTGGTAAAAATGCATCTGTTGAAATGCTTTGCCAGTGGCTTCATTCTGTCTTTGCAGTGATAAGGAATATCATGCCATGTAGCTTTAAAATGTTTGCTTTTCTATGAATCTTTCTCCTTAGTCTTCCTCTCAAAGAATTTTAGTCTGAAACCGATTCTGAGAATGTCCATCTGTTGCTTCTGTTGGCTGTGGGAAGGTCTGCAAACTACGAGCGCTCAGTGCCTCTAAAATCAGAGTTGAAGTCTGCTTGCATTTAACTGATAAATTTAAATTGACACGGGAAAATGCAGTTGTAATTCAACTGATTTCTCATTTTGTCAAGCAAGAAAATTTTAATTATAGCAGTGATTACAGTTTGTTATTCAAACAATTATATTCTTAGAATATTTTGCTGCCTAATTAGAAACCTAGTGTATAATTTACCAACTGGCGCTCATTAAGCAAAGCACTATACTTTATATTAGGAAGAAGAGAGATAGCAGTATGAGCTCGATAAGCACTTGCTGGTATCTTCCTGCTTATATGGCTGAAAGGTTTTCTTTGTTAAAATAATTTCTGCTTATTGTTGAATGGAGGCTCTTCTGATGTTCGGATGTGTAGTAGAAACAATGCAGAGACATAATGGCCTGATTGTATTTTCTTAATACTTTTTCTGTGGTAGTACTGAGATTAAGATGTGAAGCAAACTTTAACTTAGACAGTTAATAGCCATTTAATTTTTTCTTTGATGTCTGTAGATAGTCTAGCTCTTTTCACTTCCATTTGTTACATGTTGGCTTCTGTTTGCTCATTGAAAGAAATTACCTGTTTTATGATGGCTCGCAAGCTGTTGTTCTGGTGGAGTGTTTATATGCATTGTGCTGCTTTCTATACTCTACATAGAGAAGAAAGGTACTCGGTGACTGTACAGTCAGTTCCTCTATACTTTATAATAGTCATACTGAGTAATGACAAAGAAAAATCGCTTCCAAACTTTGGAGCTTGGCATTCTTTAATTATCTCTTTAGAGGTGCCATAAGGCAAACATTGTGTTAGTAGTCACAATTTTTATGTGATTTGTCACTTGAACGAATGAGTAAGTACTGTCAAGTATGTGTTTTCAAGTGTGACTTCTTATATTGTTTTTGAAGGCATCTTTCACTGCATAAATTGTCTGTTTTCTGATTTGCTCCTGCTGCCAATTAAAAATACTCATTTGTTATATTTCAGAACCCGTCTTGAAGAATTAAGAATGTTTTTGGAGAATGAGACCTGGGAACTTTGCCCCGTTAAATCAAACTTTAGCATTTTACAGCTTCACGTACGTTCTTTGAATAACACATATGAAAGTGTTGATGCTGCACTATCTAAGAGTGAGAAGTAACATATCTCTGAACTGCCGTGAAAATTTAAATGACTGTTTAAAAAACATAAATTGCATTTCAGGATTCTGGAAACTATAGAATCCAAGGCTTTTAAGACAGTGACATTTCTGTTTTAGGCAGGTAGAGCATTACATAACATGCTGGAATTGTAAGCATAATAGTAGTCTTTGTTATTTCTTGCATTTTAATGTGTCGTTTATTTGTCAGTTTTCCATTTCAAAATCATTCATCTGAGAAGATGATGCTGAAAAAGAATGCCTAACAATAGTTACCCTCCTTAGTGCTTACTAGTTTGGACCTGTTTTGGGAAAAGTAGGTCATACTGCCTGATTTGAAGAAAAATAATTCTTCTATGGGGAAGTACCAGCAAAAACAAGTACCACCCAAAAACATGGGTGTCCTCATCTGCTGTACCAAAGGGGTTATGTGTAGTTTAGTACATATTGGATGAATCTCGCCTGTTTTGCCAAACAAATGTGGATGCCTATGATTGAAGCTATTACTAAACTACAAAAGGGATATAGCTGAGTGATGCAAAGGAAAAGGTAATCATTAGAAACTTCCTGTGAAATGGATTTGGAGATTATAAAAAATTTGAAAAGAACTTATTTTTAAAGATAAAATATTTTTTAAAAATCTGCAATAGTAAATTGGTAGGTAATGTGTGTAAAACAAAACAAACAAAACCAAAACTGCATATTTGGGTAAAACTATAGATCATTTTTATTTCCTTTTTTTTTTTTTTTTTAATAAAAAGAACACTTACTCATTTTCCAAAATCAAGTGAAAACTACTTTCAGAATGCAGGAGATGTGTCACTTATCATAACCAGCAACTGCTAAAATTAGAAATATGAGCACTGTAAGATTGCCAGTATCAAGCTTAACTTGAGCCAGTATAACAAGTATGTAGTTATGCTCTGTATTTTCATTATTCTGTAGTCATAATAATATTGAAACTGTCCTGTTGCGAATTAAAACTGTACTTTCTTTCTATTAATAGGAATTTAAATTCATGGTTCAGTCACGTTCCCCATCTGTGTCACCTAGTAAGCAGCCTGCTTCAGCAATTTCAGCAACGGTAACTTTATTTGAGCAGTACTGTAATGGAGGAAACCCATTTGAAATTCAGGCTGACAGCAAAGATGATGAGACAGAGGATGTGTTAGCTTCCAATGGGGTATGGAGCATTTCTTGAAAAAAATCAAATCTAAATCTCATTAAATGCTGTTCTTTTCATGTCAGTGATGGCAAAATATCTTAGTGCATGAATTAGTAAACTACAGTACTATTGAAGTTCTCAAGGCGCTTTACTCCTATTAGATGAGTTACTTAATTTTTTAACAGTGCCAGAAAGCTGGGCAATCCTTTTTTAAAGTTTGGGTTATTTTTCAGCGGGTCAGTATTTTTCCACTGAAGTCAAATGTTCTGAAAAGCTAGTAAGATGAATTCCACTTCAAATTAGTACTTTTCCAGGGTTTTTTTACAAAGCAATTAGATACAATGATTTATCTTCCTTGTGGAAGTAGTGTTTATTATTTTAGAAAGACTGACTTTCTCACTTTGTAGGAAAGAATCATATGAATTGCTCCTTCTGTTCTATTTGTTAATGCATGCATGCTTTCCAAGGGTTATCTGATGTTTGTTAAAAGGACATTTTTTATTGTCATTTGAATGCTCAGGACACTCACTTTACTTCGTGATCCACTGCTGCGAAATTGGACAATGACTTCTATTTTTTTTCTAGTCAACATCTAGTAGTTGTCAAATATATTATAATTTAAAACGTAGTACCATTCTCTTAAATTGCTGTATAAGCAATTTTTTGTTTAAAATATTGCTTCTTTTTATTATTAATAATAATTTTATTATTTTATTTGTTTATGCATCTTATTATAAATTTATTTATTTATTTGTTTGTTTGTTTATTTTTGCGATAAGGTTGGGTAGAGCTTAGTTTAGTCAGTGTGCTGTTCTAATGGCTGCCTGGTTTGCATCTTTGCCTTTTGTATTTCCTCTGTGGGATTTGATGTGTATCTCACATGCTTGGACATGATGCTATTGCCTCTTTTCTGCTATGTCACTTGCAAACAAGATGCAGGTGATTGGTATGAAATATTGTTTGTTTATGCTTTAAGGAATGTGATAGAGAGACAGCCACCTGGTGATAGTTCTTGTCCTGTCAAGGAGTGGAGCAGAATGTACATCCTGCCTTTTCATTTCAGTATACTGAGAAGAGGTGTATGGTTATCAATGTTAGATTTAAGTATAGATTCCAAATGAGCATGAACAGTAGGGGGAGTGGCTGTTTACAAGAGTGGATAGTGACAGGACAAGGGGGAATGGTTTTAACTGAGACAGGGGAGATTTAGGTTAGATATTAGGAGGAAGATTTTCACACACAGGGTGGTGACACACTGGAACAGGTTGCACAAGGAGGCTGTGGATGCCCCATCCCTGGAGGCATTCAAGGCCAGGCTGGATGTGGCTCTGGGCAGCCTGGTCTGGTAGTTGGTGACCCTGCACATAGCGGGGTCTAGAAGATCATTGTGATCCTTTTCAACCCAGGCCATTCTATGAGCAAAGATGTGCTCCAGAGAATGCTAAGAACCATAGAATTGCACAGTGCTGTATAGAAACCAGCTCCAAAACAAAGCTTTTGTGGAATCTGAACAGCTGTTTGGTAGGTATTTGTGAAAGGTCCATAGAGAAATAATTGTTATGATAATACAGTGCTTTTGAGGTTTGCAAAAATTAAAGCTGCTGCTAATGGAGAGTTGTTTTCAGACTTCAGTACATTTGTGAGTAGTTGTACTTTTTAAAAGTTTTTTTTTTCCTGAAGGAAACATAATACAATTTATTATTAGAAAATAGTGATATTTTTAAGACAGCTTTCTTGTGAAAGTTCACCTTTAACAAGAAAAGCTATCATGACCTGCATTGTGAGTTCCAGGAAGGGTATACTCAAATGTTTCAGGATAGGCTTTTTTAGGGAGGGGGCTTGTTTTGTTTTTTGGCCACCACTTGCAGGTAGGTAGTTGGAAATATGTGAAGTAATTTTCAAAAATGATAACTTAGGTTCTGAGATTGGTTAACTTTTCCAGAACAGCAACAACAAAATAATTGTTGGTTGGAAATTTCTGGAACCTCTGATTCCATGCAATTCACTGCTAGCAAATGAGTGTGAATGCTGTGTCCAGATAGTCCCTGTAATTAATGCATTGTCTTGTTAGTAGGATACTGCAGTTCTAGAAGGCTGGGATCGTCTTCTTTTCTTAACTTGTAGGTATATTAAGGTATTTTTTTCTTTCTGTGGACATGTATGAGAAATCTGTAAGCTTTGCACTCAGGTTAGAACTGATCTGCTCTATTCTTTCCAGTTGCAACATTTTTTGATCCAGAATCTTTCATCTAACTTCAGTAAAATTTAAATGATGTGAATTTCCCCATCCTATACGCTTAGGGTTCTATGATTGTGAAATCACCTGAGGAAGACATTAGATTGCAAATACAGATGAACTCTACTGTGTGAGGGACTGCCGTGTTCTGTGAAACCAGCAGCTCTTTCCCCTCAGCATCCTGCTTCTTGTAGTGCAGGATGATGAGCTGATTTTTTTCCAGAATTTTCTTGGGGAAAAAAAAAAAAGAAAAAGAAGCAGACCACCTCCACCCCCAAACCATTGTTATTAATTTGTAATGTATTGTAATTGTCCATGAAATTTTCTGTTATCTGTTATGTTATTACTACAGGGACTTGATGAATTCTGCTGTGCAGTCATCCTGAGTGGAAAATTTATTTTTTATTCTGAACTTGGTCTCCATCTGTTGAACAAATCTCAGTATTTAAAGGCTATATACTGATTGTTTACTGCTGTCTGTTTTTTGAAGGTGCACGAGGCTAAGTCCTAGCCAGAGCTAAAGATCCTTAAACCAGTGATTTTTAGCGTGTCACCAACAGAATCCTCTTTGCTTTGCACACAGATGCTGCTGCAAACACATCCTGTCAGGACAATCCATGCAGGGACAGGCCTGGGGTAATCCAGTGCCAGGGAGACGCACCCTGCCCTGCCACAGCTACCTGCCTCAGCTCAGCACAGCAGGCTGTGCTTGTAGTGAGTCAGGCTAGAGGGAGTCGTCAGCCCAGGAATCAGCAGTAGGTTAATGTGTCACAAGCACTGCCGAATCTGTTTTGTGGTTTCCCTGCCTTGAATTTGACCCATGTCCCATTTGGTAGGCTTGAGCGCTACTGGGGACTTTCAAAGCTGGCTGCAGCGGCCTCTTTTTCGAAGCTGTGTGCCAATGTAGTGTTCTTTGCTTGTGAAACATTAATATATTTTAAATTGATAAAATCTGAAATTGTGTCTGGTGAAGAACTGTAATGAATTTTGGCTCTCCTTCAACGCCGGAGGGACAGAATGTTCTTCATGGAAAAAGTAAAATACCAATTATATGATTTATTATTTATTTTTCTTGTGAGGTCTAGGTTATATTTACAACCATTTGTACAATAATTTTGCTAACCTGAGTGTGATGTTATTGGGAGAACTCTGGAATAGTTTAGGGCTAACATATATTTTTGAAGTAAAATTTAAAATCATATGCTGTTTGCCTAATGTAATTTATAAGTGATTAGGGGCAATGGTGCTTCTGATTTTTCTTCATTTCTTGTGGAAGTCTTTTGTGGTGAGTGTATCCTTTATTTGAGATGTTTTTAGCAACTCAGCATATAAATGGGCTTATTCCTTAAGATAACTTTCGTGCATTGGGAAAGGTTAACTAACTGCTTTCAATATAGAGAAATGTTAAGTAAGGCTGAAGAGCTATACTGAGAGTGCAGATGACAGTGTTTAACAGTACTAAAAAGACACACGATTTCAATCGTTGTATTTTACCTCACGGTCACTGAAGGATGAAATCCTTACTAAAATCTTTGCAAAGGAAGTGTTATTCACATTTGAGTAGACAGCTGAGGTATAGAATAGGTTAGCTGGCCCTAGAACCAAGGCTTCTGGTCACCCTGCTAGTTTACTCTTCTGGTGACTATCCTCTGTTTCTCTTTCATTAGCAGTTAAACTAGAAATTATTTCAGGTGGAGACTGCAGAATTTTGTTTCCAGAGAATGCAGATATGTTTTTAGATATCTAGAGAAATGGCATGACAAGGCTGTGAACAACTGACTGACTTCTCAGTGATCTGCAGGATGTTAAGAATTGTCAGTGTCTCATTTGAGAATTTTTATATTTTTTTCTTATCAACTTATTTCAGTTCTGGACAACTGAATGGGCCTTAGGGTCCAGTCATCTCTGATTTTTTTGTTTTTTTTCTCCTCCTAAGCTTCAGTGAGACATTTTATGTCTATTTTCTGTAGCTCCCTAACATATTTTTCTTGTGATACAGGTAACTTAGTTTTATAACACTCTTCAGTTTCAGTTAATCTTATTACAGTCCTATGTGTTAGTTTGGATTGACTACCAAAACACTTGATAATTGCAGTGTTAATTGCTAGTGGCCACAATAAATTATTTAGCACTTTGATATGTTACTGCAGACTGTATTTATGGAAAATATGTTCTAGAAGGTCTCTACTTTGTGATTGTGAGTTAATTATCTGCATTTTTAAATCATGCAGTTTAAAAACCTTTTTTTAGCTTGTAAATAAATTTTCCAACTTATTAATAGGTTTAGATTGAGGAGACTTAGTGAAGTATTTTCCATGTTAAAAAAAAAAAATCATTTTTTCAAAATGTTCTTATTCAATTAAGACAGTTAACAATTTATAGTCAGCATATAATTTCACTATCACTGGATTTTAATTGAGTTGGAGCACATTATTTATTAATGCATAGTACATGATTGTAATTCTCCAGGTTAATTTTTCAGTCAATTTAGTTAAAATATGACTTTGTCAAACCTGAAGTCAGTGCCTTTAATTATAGCTTTCATTTATTTGCGATGTTCATGGGGCAGAAATTTAGCGTATGAATACTACTGATCAGTCTGTTCCTCATACTATGTGTTTTTTCTATCTCAACTATTTTTGCTTTGAATTTGTTTGTCCTGTGGGCTCTCCACTTTTTTAATATACTACTTGCATTGTGCTGTGCTTTAAAAACATTCATACCTTGGGGCTGTGGCAAAATTGCCAACCGTAACTGAAAAATATACTTTCTAGTGTATTTCAGATGATTGAAAGACTGACATTCCCTTAATGTACCTTCATCAGTTTTCCTTTCTGGAAAGAACCATTTCTTAAAGTTCCCAGAACCAGACTGTTTTTGCCATGTGGGTCATTTTTTTTTTTTTTTTTTTTTTTTTACTTCCTGGACAAAATGGCTGCAGAGCACTGCCTACATTAAGAAAAAGTTGAAAGTAAAAGTATTGTCTGTCTTCAACTGAAAATGCATTTCTGGAGCCTGGTGTGTAGGCTTAATGCCATGTAGGAGTTCAGGAAAATGGGTTACATCCATAGGGCATCAAGTGTTAGTTTTCCTTTAATGTTTTGTGGTTTAAGAAAATAACCTAAAAAGAGGTAAATAGATAATTTTACCTTGTTACTTATGTAGTGTTTAAAGCAGCTATACTGCAGAGCAACCAAGAATACTTGAAAAAAAACCCTGATATTTAAATATTATTCTGAGTGAAAAAAAGATTGCAAATGTTAAATGTTTTTACCAAACATAATCCTAACTGTATAATACATTTTAATATGTATGTGTGGTTTCATAACTATAAAAAGCACTTATTGTATGTTTCAATTTCTGGGTATGTTGTCCATGTAACTTGTAATCAAGCAATAACAGTGTATGTGTAATGTGGAAACCCTATATTGTGTTATTTTTGCTGCAGCTTGGTCATTTTTTCACTCATCGGTTGTTAGGTTCAAGCCTTCTATCCTTACATCAAACAAAAGTTTCTTGTAAGCTTTGAAATGCAGTGGAACATCTGAACAGAAGAAAACAATTTCAAAAAATTAAATATGTCTGAGTTTTTGGAGGCAACAGTTGTGTCTGTAACTACTTAAGGTTATTTTTCAGATGTTGCAATTTAATGTTGGTCTTCTGTGAGAGGGGTCAAAATTAGAACAGGCTTCCTGGTGAGGTGGTTGGTGCTCCAGGTTTGTCTGTGCTCAAGAGGTGTTTGGATAATGCCCCCAGTAACATGCTGTAATTTTGGTTAGCCCTAATGTTGTCAGGCAGTTGGACTCAATGATCTTAGAAGGTCCCTTCCAACGAAAGTAGTCTTGTTCTTTTCTTTCTTCTCTCTCTCTTTCTCTCTCTCCTTCTCTTTCTCTTATCTCTCAAGGCAGTATACAGGAGTAATTTAGTTATATATTCATGTTTTTCATAAGGTTATTCTGGTCTGTGTTGTGGGATCTGTGTAAAATGGTGCGTATGGTGCATGAGGCTGAAAAGAACCACTAATCAAGTCCTATAATAATGGGAGAACAAACCCTTTTACTCTATTCCTCATTGGTTTGTTCCAGTATTACAGCCAAGCCATATCACGGCAGTGTTACTTAGAATGTTATACTGTATTGTGAGGTGGTTTTGTTTGTGTAATTTGTTTATTTTGTGTATAAGCTAAGACTTATCAAGTGGGGTTGTAGAAGCCTGTTTCCTGCATGCTCGCAGTTTTTGTTTGCTTCGTGTACACTGTGAATTTTATGTGTAGAAAAAGATACTCTTACATACAAAGTTACTGTTCTTGCTGTTGGTGTAGATAGAACAGCATACAGGTGAAGGAAGTAGCTGCAGGGAAAAAAAAACAAACAGAAAAATAACATTGTTACTGTAGAGTAGTCATGAGAAATACTTGCATTTATGTTTGTTTGTTTACAGTATGAATCTGATGAACAAGAAAAAAGTGCCTATCAAGAGTATGATAGTGACAGCGATGTTCCTGAAGAGTTGAAAAGAGACTATGTAGATGAGCAGACGGGAGATGCCCCTATGAAGAGGTCAGTATGCTCAGTCTTATTTACATGTGTTTGATCTCAGTACTGTAGTTTATTCTTGATTCAGTCTCTACAACAATGGAATGATAATCAAATAACCTTTATGATACCTGCACAGTGAGAAAGGCTCAGCAGTTAGATCTCCAGGATGGGGGGGAACATTAAACTGTTAACTGTTATTGCAAAAAGAAACATTGGGAAGCAAGAATTTGAAGGAAGATAAAGGCTCTCTGAAGTGGGTTGTGGAAAACTCATTAGCAAGCATTAGACATTCTTCTACAACTGCTGCTATGTATATGTGTAATTTTTTTATCAATGGGAATTTTTTGCAAATAAATGACTTGAGACTTGTGCTTTTACAAAACAGTTATCTTTTAGAAATTTCAGACATACAAACCAAAAAACAAAACAAAAGCACTGTACCGAGTAGATTTCTATTCAGCGTTTATGAAGCAAGCTCACCTTATTTGTATGGAAAGGCTTTCAGAAGTACTAGAAGGGCACTTCTTGGGTCAAAAGAGAGGAATTTTTTTTTTTTTATTACAAAATCATTCTAGAATAAAATATTATCATGGTTTTATCAGACATCACAAACTACTTCATTTCAATGAGACTCTAGAGATATTGATAAAGATTAATTTATGGGGAAAAAAATGCAGTCAGTGAAATTGTATTACATTGCATTACAGCTATGCGCTGTGGAATTGTAACATGATTAACTTTTGGATGAATATTATTTTAAGGTGTTTTTTCTTATTTTTTTTCCTTCGTAGTGTTTCTCGAGAAACTCTGAGGAGCAAAAAGAAATCAGATTATAGTCTCAATAAAGGGAACGCACCTATCCTGACAAACACTACACTCAATGTAGTAAGGCTTGTTGGTACGTTGAACAATTGTTGGAATGTATGTTTATTTTAATACTAACCTATGGATTCTAGCAAATATATTCAATGAATTTTAAAACACTTTCAAAATACTAAGCTGGACACTGTTTCCACTTTTTCAATGTGTGGTAGTCTGAATGAGGTTTCAGTGGATTATTTCACTTTGTTGCAGTTTCCTGCTCTCCAGTGGCATTGCCTCTCTTTGGATTTCTTGCATCTTCCTTGTACTGGCAGTTCAGTCATTCTGTAATGTTCCTTATGCAGCCAGCAGGTCCTTCACTTCACCACTTTTTCCAAGGGATGAGCCTCTAGTTTACTACAGAAAGATACGTGTTTTTAATTAATTGATCCTTAAATGCATGGCTTTACTTTTTGTACTACTGAATTTCATCAGATTCTTATTACAGCAGTCATCAAGGTCGTCTGGTTCCTCCTGTAGATTATGCCAATCCCTTTCTGTTTTGATGGTACCTCCTTATTTTTTTCCATTATCATACTCTTTACTTTTGTGCCAGAGTCATTCATGAGGATTTGTAAGAAGAGTTGTTGGAAACTCCACTAGTAGCTTTTCCAGATACTTCCCTTTTCATCACACTCTGTTCTGCCTTCTCTTTTGCTAAACAGTTGACTAAATCCCAGATGGGTGAAATGTACTGTATTATTTCTCTAGAAAATCAAATAACGTTTGTATCAAGAATATTTGTCTTAACTGATATAGTTCACATCTGGTAGATTCATTAGTTGTTTTATGAGTTTTGCCCCTATATAGAACATAAAGGTAAGCATGATATTGTTCTTCTGATTTAGCTGAACGTTTTATGTCTGTTAGTGTGACATCTAGCTTTGATCCAGTTGCCTGGATTCTCCTCTGGCAGGCAGGGATGCCATGGAATGTGCCTGTCCTTTCACACGTGTCTCTGCTAATGCCATTGAAGGTTGCAGTTCATCCTGTGCTGACTCTTGATTTTGGCTAGGAAAATGCCATGATACATGACACTGTTCAGTTTCAAGGAGTGTAACTGATGGGTATTTAGGATTCTTTCATTATCATTTGAGTAGTGCAGACAGCTCCAGAAGGTGATACCTTTCCTGGATATCTTTCCATGCATGTCATAGTACAGATATCTTAGCACTTGTATTCTGGAGCTGCTTCCCTTCTGCACCGGATATCTGAGCAACAAACGTGGGCTGAGGGTTTTTTTTTTGTTTTTTTTTTTAAGATAAGTTTGACAAAGTGAATTGCATGTGTAATACCAGTGATATAATGCCTTAAAAATTAAGCAGAAACCTAGTATAGTGCAGTAGAGCTATGTCAGATGCATCAGAAAACCTGTACTTAAAGTTTTGGCCCTTAAAAACAAGGCTATAATTTCAGAGATACTTGTCTTGGTGGCAGTAAATGCTAGTAGCTTTTGTCCCTGCTACATATTGTCAGTGACATGCTGCCTCCCATATATTTGCATCAGTATGACTTTTAATATATCTGTCTAGATCAGCTTCTCCCTCTTAGTTAAAAATAAATCATAAAGGAAAGCAAGTTAATACAGGAGATTTGGAGTGAGATTAAAATGTGATTTTAAATTGCCCACTCAAGTAGAAGAAATTCTTGTTTTTGTTATGCAAGTAGTAGTACTCACTGAAAGAATATGATGCTGCTCATAATAATTTTGAGCTATTTCTGGGGGCTCTGTGCATTGTAAGGAGGCTAGATGAATAAAAATGTGATTTACTATATATTTAATAAAAATAGTTTAAATAAGTTACTATGTATAGCTGAAGTGGGAGGTCATATAATTGTTGAATTTGAAATTCAAGTTTACAGTTCAGTTTATTTGTTTTTCCATTAGGTAAATAAATGAGGTAGTTATTTCTCAGTTTGTTTCTAGTATAAAGCAATAATTAGATTAATTTATAGGGTTATTTTTTTCCTATCAAACTCTTGCCTGTTGACTTAAAACTTGAAGGAAGAATGAACCCATGCTAAATTGTTATGGAATATTGAGAACTAGGGTCGGTACATCAACAAGAATATTTGCCATTCTGAACACTGATTATTTTTTTAAATTAATGTCATCCATATTTAAGAAATGGGTTGGGGTTGTCTGATGCTTTCTTTTTGCCTCATTTTTACTTCTCCAGTGGATAGTTTTTTATGAAGTAACTCTTAGATTTGGCTTGCTTTAAAGCTCATTATCTTGGGAGAAAATAATAGTGGTGGTGACAAATCTCACAGCTGAAAACTTTTTGCTGAAGAAGTGAATGGACATATAGTGTAGGACTTCATGAGTCTTCAAAATAGGAAAAAAAAAAAAAACAGGAAAAAAACAAAAACACAGAAAACCCCCAATCATACAGTCTTTCAAAATGATATAACTAAAACAGTCTGGAGAAGAGGAGGCTCAGGAGAGACCTTATTGCTCTCTATAACTACCTGAAGGGAGGTTGTAGCGAGCTGGGGGTCGGCCTCTTCTCCCGTATAACCAGTGATAGGACTAGAGGGAATGGTTTCAAGCTGCGCCAGGGAAGATTCAGGCTGGATATTAGGAAATACTAATTCTCTGAAAGGGTGGTCAGGCACTGGAATGGGCTGCCCAGGGAGGTGGTGGAGTCCCCTTCCCTGGAGGTGTTCAAGGAACGTTTGGATGTTGTGTTGAGAGATATGGTTTAGCAAGAACCATTGGTGATAGGTGGATGGTTGGACTGGATGATCTTATAGGTCTTTTCCAACCTTAGTGATTCTGTGAAAACGTGCTTTTTGTGGTTTCCTTCAAAGTGGCATTTTAGCTTCTTATGTATGTCGTAGCAAGCTGCATGTTTGGAGTTCAGAGACTCACTAGAAATTAGTTTATAATAACCACAGATATACTAAAGCTCTTATAAATATATGGAGGCAGTGTATTTTATTCACTATTTTGGTTTTAATGATCAGATTTATGTAGATCAGTCCAATAGAAAAAACTGCTGTCTCGAAGGACAGTTGAATTGCTGGAAATACTGAACACTTCCAGAAAAACCTCAAACAAACAACAAACTAACATACAACAACAACAAAAACAAACAAAAAAACACCCTGGCAAATGTTCAGGAGTTTGGGCCATTATGAATTGTTTATAGAAAGTGTAGCTACTTTGACTTACATAAACTCAAAGTGGTATTTACAAGTATTTCTGGAAATTTCTGGTGTGGCTGTTAGTGCTGTTTGGGAATTTTCTTGTACATGTTTTTCACTCAAACCGTGAACTTTACTGCAAGTAGGTAACAATGTATAGAAGTTAAAATTTGGCATCCTCTCAGAGAAACTAGGAGGAAATGTTCTTGGAACGCTTTGTGTAAAGATGCTGAGTGATGTAGTAATAGAGAAATGTTCTTGGCTGCAGAAGATTCTTATAGGGACAGTGCTTGGGCAGTGCATAGTCCTTTGGAAAAGTGTAGGACACTGCCCAAGAGACTGCCTTACATGTTTATGCCAACCACAAAGATATTTGGAAATCTAACTGCCCAGAATGTGACACATCACCCATTATTATGCATAGGTTGCAGGCAAGTTTGAAAACTGTGTTTACCTCAAAATCAGTGGAAAAAATCAGCTTGTAGCAATAAAGAATATTCAGACACACATGAAGATGGCAGCTATTTTGATAGGGTATCATCCTTTCCAAACATCCATAAATTTCCATGTAGACTGTGCTGAAGTTAACTGCATTTGTTGTTCCCTTTTGGAAAACAAATGGAACATCTTAGGTCTGCTTTTCAGTTTATTCTTAATGGTTTTGTAGGTCAAAACATTGATAACTAAGCATGGAATTAACATCTGGGTTAACCTGCCAAATTATTAGATACTTTAACTCTTGTCAAATCTCCAAAAATAATGAAATATATTCTTGAGTGTGTTGGCAAACTGGGGCACAGTTTTTTAATATTCAGGCAGGTTGTTTAGGCTAGATAGAGATGTGAAAAGCAGCAAAATCAGGTTTTGCTTGATTCTTGCCATAGCGCTGTATCATCCCATGATAGTTGTGTCATATATTTGTCAAATTAATGTGGTCTTTTATGATCACAAGTAATTGTTTAAAAATTCAAGTTACTATCCCTGATACTAACAGCTAAATTTGATACTTAATTTCTCTGTGTAAAATAACATTTTCTCAACTAATTAGTAAGTTACTTTGCTGTGCACAGTGTTAACTTTAAAAATGTTGCTGACTACAGGAGAAGTAAATTATTTTGGCACCTTCATGCAGTATTCTATCAACCTGTCACATCAAAACAAGTCTGAAATGTGATGTTTTGTTAACTGATCTGCTATATCTGACATGCTGGATTAACTGCATTTACATCTTTGTTCAAAAGTTGCTGTCTGTAATAACCCAAAGTTTATTATATATACTTATATTATTATATATATTATATATGATACATTTCTATCATATATACAGTATCTATATTAAAATACAGGTACACTGTTGAGATGCGAATGGGGCAAGTAGTATGGCATTTCTGAACTAGTCAGCAGTAAGTCTGGGATCTCTGAAAAAGCAAGTTTTCTTAAGTATACTTTTCTTATGACCCTATGGAAAAACATCCATGCCCTATGCTAGAAAACAAAATAACTATAATTAAACCTGTAAGGGAAGATTGTTTTCTGAGTTCAAATCCTATGATAAGTTTGATTCAAATAATGTATAAATGTAGGTCCTGATATTCTTAATATTTTTTTCCCTGAAATCATATGCACAACAGCAGAGAGCAAGATGGAAGAGAAGGAATTTCTTTTTTTCCCTGGATGTCCCTATTTTATAACATTCAGTAATACATGCTAAAGTAGAAAATTAATCCATTGAAATGAAGTAAACAAATAGTGGTTTAGTTTTTCTTCAAGTCCTGCTTGGATTGCCTTACAAAATCTCCATTCCTTTTGATTTGCTTTTGCCAGCAATTATCGTATTGTGTCAGCCTACTCCTTTAGAAACATTTCCAATGTACAGCTGAAAACAATTTGGTTTTCTTGCCTTGTCTTTTTCTGACCTGATCTGATTCCACTGCACTACAGAAGTTGCCAGTGCTCTTTTGTACAACACAGTCCAAAGTTGTAGAGGTAGATTTTTTTTTTTGCTTGTTTATTTACCTTTGTTTCTTTTTTTGAGTGTGTGTCTTTTTGGTGGTTTTTTGAAGGGGAGGGATTCTCTCAGGAGCAGCACACTCTGGAGCTTCTATGTTCTTTATCTTCAGTACTAATAGAGCAGTCATTTAGCAGATTCTTGAAGTGCCTGCAGTGGAAATCCTTCTCCTTGATCGGAAGAAAAATTTTTAGGTAGTCTTTTATGGTGTATTGTTTCCTTCACTTCTTACAAAAGATAAAAAGGAAGGTTAGCAAGAAATGATAACACATTATTCCTGAACTCCCAGTTTTGGGTATATCATTTTTGTAACATACTTTTCTATTGCTTGAAGATGTCTGTATGTGCATGAGTAAACACTCACTAGTGCATAGTATCTTGAGTGGCTCTGTGTATCATTTGCTACAGAGTACTTACAGGGATTATTACTTTTGGGCTGAATTGATCTGAATGTTGTGGAGGAATCAGAAGGTCTTATGCTTTGAACTTGATACCAAAAGGCCAAAAGAATTGTTCAAGACATTTTGATACAGACTGACAACCTCTTTTGGAGAAGTCTTGTGTCATTTTATGTGTCTTAGTCATCATATTTATTTTTAAGCCTCCTTATCTCTAAAACATTGCTAAATTGCATTTCATCAATATTCAAGGCTAATTAATAAGGTTTGTAAAAGCATTTTTGAGTCTGTGAAGCTCACCACTGCCCTTGTTACACTTGTGCTGAAGAATCTGATCTTGTGTCTTCATTTTCAAGGGAAATATATGCAGATGATGAACATTCTCAAGCCAATTGCATTTGATGTCATCCACTTCATGTCCCAGCTCTTCGACTACTATCTGTATGCAGTCTATACATTTTTTGGCCGAAATGACACGGTAGGTAGAAAAGATATTTATTTTGGAGTATCAGAGTATATACAGAATGAGAATACTGAGGAGCTCTCTTTACTTAAAACAGTACCAAATATATGATTGCCCAGAAAATGAGTGTTATCAGAATGGATCTGAATGCAGGAGTAAGCGAAGGCTGATTATCTAATCATCTAAATGTCTGTCTGATTATCTAATGCAGTGAGGAGAGTAAGCATAGGAAGCATCATTGTCATTGGGACATGAAACCAATTGCATTTGAATAGGTACTCAGTATTCAAGTACTTTGAATGAGAAGAAAGACAAGTACCTGGAAGTAGTGGCAGAAAGTGGAGAATAAAGGAGCAGTCTGCAGTGGCTTGGAGCCCAGAAAGGTTTAGGTGACTTGGTTTTTCTATATTTATTTCTCAGACATAGACATGAATAGCTGAAGAGCAGAAGGGTGCCCTAAAGGTTGAGTAGTAACTCAGATTTAAGAGGATTGAAATAGTTTTTCAGATCTATTATTGCTCTGTCAAGCTAATTGAATTAATAAAAATATTTGGGGGCTTTGAGTGTTCTTGTAGTTGAAATAAATGCTTGTTGGCAATGTCTGTACATAACGTGGATCAACTTTCAACAGAATTGTCTTAAAGCATTTAAAAGCTGCATGTAAAAACAATTTTATCCTCTTTTGGCCCCTGGATTATTTCACAGCATTAATGTAATGGGGTTCCAAACTCATCATCATCTTTTGGCAAATCAAAATGGATTTTTGGACTGTCAACATATGGTTTTAAATGGTTTTGAGCTGTTTGGCAGGACAAATGCATTTCCAATTTGTGTTTAGACCATGAGTGGCATGTTTTTTTGTTGGTGATGGTGAGTTTGTTATGTTTTCTGTTAAACTAGTTGATTTCCATTGGCTTAATCAGCTACTTTGCTATTCATATTGTGTTACATTTGGGTTTTTTGCACCTCCTGTTTTGTGTTTTTAAAGCTTATGCCGAGTTCCTCACTTTCTTCTTCTAACAGAGAACAGCCCAGTGCTAGGCAGGTAAATGTTATAGCAGATGAGTGGTAAAATTGTATTGCTTTCCTAGTGTGCCTAATTTTTGTTTTGAGAAATGGTTTTCTGTGGGAAACAACCCTTACCAAGGGTCTATGAATGAGATAAACCCTCTTGTAATGCTCCTTGAATGTTTCACTTCTCACTGTGTTTTAACCCTTTAAAAAAATAGAGATGGTTGATGGTATGTGATTTAGACCTAGACCACTGTCAGAGTTCCTGTTGTAATTTTTCACTTGTGTGTATATATGTGTGTGTGTGTGTATGTATGTATGTATGTATATATATATATATATATATATATATAAAATCATCTAAATGTCTGTCTGATTATCTAATGCAGTGAGGAGAGTAAGCATAGGAAGCATCATTGTCATTGGGACATGAAACCAATTGCATTTGAATAGGTATTCAGTATTCACATATATATATATATATATATACATATACAGATAGATAGATAGGTATATAATGGGTTTCTTAAAAATATGCTGGTATTATAACCTCCTTAAGCAATTAGAACGCTATGCCCATGTTATTTGTGTGAGTTAGCACAAGAGTGATCAATTGTATGTAGTTAATTGCCCGTTCAGTGAAAATCAAGGATTGTGTTGACTGCTCTGTCTGGTCTTCTGTCATTGTCCTTTCCAGAACTCTTTAGAACAATTATCCTATGTAAACAGTATTTGGCATTCTTCACTGACAAAATTTGCACGCTATTGTAATCAGAATTGTTCTTTCAAATTCTTTTTAATTCCTGGGGTAAAAGTTAAGGCTTTCTTCTTTATCTCAAATTTTGGAAAAACCTAATACAAAATTAAAAGAAAGAACCTTTTTTTAATACCTATTCACTAAAGTTGTGATGTTGATGAACATATCGCAGAATAGTCTTCCTTAGCAGAATAAATTTTAAGGTGAGTTTTAATTTTTTTGACAACACATGTGAATATATAAATCTAATGACCATTTTTACAGAAAACACTTGAATTTTTTATTCTGTTAGGTAAGAAGTCACATAGAACTGGTGATGAGTATAAATTCTCTAATGCTAAACTTACAAAGTCATCAGTTTATGACATTTAAATATCTGCTGTTTTGCATGTATAAGTAGCAAAAACTTCAAGTAAAAAACTTTAACCGTGTGGCAAAACAATTATACTGCTGAGTGGTGCATTCTGTTTGAAGCTATGAGGTTTTGGCCTTGGGGAAAAAAAGTGCAGTACAACAATTGTTTTTCTGATTTTTGTTTTACCTTGTTTTGCTTTTCCTTATAAACATAAATGCACTGCTTTGGGCTGTGCCTGATGAATCTGGAGCTCTTGAGTTGCAATGTTTTATGGAAATCTAAATGTGTTCTTTCATTCCTTATTATTCTTAAATGTTTCAAGGGGGAAACGTCCAGTTTTTAAAAAAGAAGTAAATGTATTATTAAGAAAATCTTATTAAAATACTATTAAAAAATAAAATTTTGTTTTCCTGCTCTTTTTTTACCTTGATAGGTAAAAAAAATAGCTAGTCTTGAATTTGCAGTCTTTGTGGCCATAACTTGAAAAACTGTTATATGGTGTTAAGGATGGAATAAAAGAGGATTTGGGAAATTAAAAGTGTGTTTCTTAAAGAGGAAGGAAAAAAAGCAGATTTTCTTTTTTACCCACATACCTGCAAAACTGAAGGCAGCTCAGAACTGCTATTTCTACAGTAAAAATGTGAATAAAAATGCACACCAAATGTACCCCACATTTTTATCTGAAACATTTTATCAGACAGGGACATTAGGATACTGATCTATGTCTCCTAGATCATATTCTGGATTTCAGTAGGGGGTGCTTCCAGTGGGAATTCTGCTGCAAGGTAATTTTCATTGTGCATGTGGGGAGATTAGGATGTGTGGACATCTTAAATGAGGAAGTTTAGATGCAGTAAATAGGGACCTTGAATATTCCCTTTTGTATGTAAAATGAGGGATGGGACTCGACTTTTTTCCCCAATTCTGTGTGTTGAAAGGGTTTCTAATACAAGAGACATAATTGCTCTAAATATTATTTAGTAAATTGCTTTTTTTTGGTGTGAATCACATACCAGAACTGTATTCAGAAACTTCCAGTTTCTTAAACATGTGTTACTTACTTATCCCATTTCCACTGCCTTTGGTTTGCTTGTTTGTTTGTTCTTGTTTCTTTGTAACTGGAAGTAGAAGACAAGTAGCTGTTATTAGTTACACATCAGATCAGCCCCTCAGCTGGTATAGTTCATTGCATCTAATAGGCAATGAATGTTAATTTATCCCAGCTGAACACCGTCCCTGTAATGCTGCTGAGCCATGAACATGAAGATGGCATGTTCATTAGGTAAATCTTGATAGACATTAACTAATAACAATTGTTTTATTAAGATCAATGGATATAATTATACAGTTGCAAGTTAGATATTCAGTAAGGGATTACAAGAAACTTTATAGTCAAGGCTATTTGGCCTGGGTATGGTATTCATGTAAGTCTCACTGGGGGCACTGTGATGTGCCTTTTGGGGCTGGTCTCCCAGATGAGGTCATCTTGGGTCCAGTGCCCATATACAGCGTTGCAACAATAAACGATGCTGAATGCTGAGTGACAGAAATGGTAAGCTGTCATCTTCATGAAATGTGCTCAGGCCATCCTTTGCATAAGTGTAGTGCTGAATGCAGTGACCTTGTTGATCTTCATTTTGTAGAGCTACAATTATGTATTAAAACTTTAATGTAATAAATTGTATCCAGTGCTTACAAAGTGAAGCTTTGTTGTGTTGCCGTAAACCTTAAACCAAGGATTTTTATTTTCCAAGCTTAAGTAGAATATATTTCTTCCAGTTTGAATCGACAGGATTGGGCCTCAGTAGCAGCAGATTACGCACCACACTGAACAGAATCCAGGAGAGCCTCATTGATCTAGTAAGTATCTGGATTTGGAGTGTGAAACAGAGGGCTGTCTCAGCAATTCAGCAATTGTATTTCATCATAACTTACTGATTCCTCTCCCAACCCACATCTTCTCATATTTATGTCTGTAAAGACAAAGACTAAAGACTATTTCTTGGTATATAGTAATGTAGGTATCATTACTGTGTGAAATTATTTGTTCTTGATGTATACTAGAATTAGTTTAATAGCTTCTACTAGATGTAACAACACAATTAGGCATTTGAATCTTAAAATACTTTATGGTTTATGTAATAAAAGCACAGTGATATTCCAATATCATCCTTATTAAATTAAACATTCTATTAAAAATACACCCAACAGCAGCACAAGAGACAACTCATTTTTCTTCAGTGAAAGAACAACAAAGCAGTAAGCCATTGATAAACAAATTCACTGCACAAAATCATTAATATGTTAAGTGCTTTGTTATGTCACTTCTGAATATTGTGGAATTTTACCTGTTGTATTTTATAAATTATATCACATCAGTCACTTCTTGAGTTATTTTCAGAAAGGGAAAAGTAAATATGGTGCTCATGTCCCACTGGTAGTAGATTACTATTCCCTCACATCACATTACTGCGAATGTACAGGGAGTCTTCAGGTAGGTTTCGTAGGTTCAACTGAGGAGCAGTTTATAAAGAAATATAGTTGAGAACTCTGCAAAAATGGAATTGTGCACTCTTTTTTTAACTTAAATATAAAACACTCGAAACATTGTGAAGAAATGCATTGAGTATTGTGAATGGGATGTAATGTAATTAATACCGCAGATGATAGAGGAAGGATTCGTTTCTGAAGGCAGAAGTGGGATGCAAATGCTTTACTTTGACTTTCGTAGGGATTTGGCACTCCACGGAATTGTACTAAGGTGCCTTTTTGAATTCCTTTAAACGTTCAGAACAGTCAAATTCTAAATTGTTCTTTCCGAGAAGCATTTTAAAGGAGTTTGAGTCATTTCTTACAAGGTCAGTAGAGGGAGCATAACATAACTAATAACCTCCATAATGCAGAAAAAGGCTAAAGTCATTTTGATATTCATCTCAAAGGCAATGTGTTCAGAAAAGGAAAAAAAAAAATTAGGAAGATCTTGCAAAGAAATCAGTTAAAGATTTGTCATTATTGGGGAAAAAATGTCAAGTTTTGGAATTATTTTTTAAGCTTACTCTGTAGTCACTGTTCTTGAGAGTGCTTTACATTGTTTTGATTTTTATCATTCAGTATAATTTTTTAAAACTCATTTCTAGGAGTAAATTGAGAAAAATAACTGGATTTCTTTTTCTTCATCATCTAACAGTACTGTTACAGATAATGCAACTGTCCATTGAGATTAATAACTGTCTGCTAACTTTAAGCCATTTAATTAAATTTATTAATCTTATGAATTTATGAATTTTATGAACTTCTACTGGCCTTATGCTGTCAATGGGAATTTACTTTCTGGGTATTTCTGTTATTATTATAATCACTAAGAACTTATGAAAATCAAGATTAATCTTCATTGAGTCATTAAAATGGGTATTTCTCATAGCTTAAAATTGCTTTCTGTAGATATTCTTCATGTTTATATTGTGAAGGTCAGTCTCATGGCTTGTCAGGAATTTACTTTATATTATTTATTTATTTATTTTTGCATTGTAACTTTATTCAGGGCTCTTATTTCTGCTAAATTTTTGTTTCCTGCTAGTAGCATCTTTCAATGTTTTATTTGAATAAGGATATTCTCAACAAGTTTTTATTCTCCTTCTGTGCCTGAGGCTCTGTCAGAACAAGAGCTCAAACTAGTTCTCTGTAATTTCTCAGTACCACTGAAGGTAGAACACTACTGTTTATTTCAAGACTATTCAGAATTTTAGACTGGGTCATTCCTTGTCCATTTTCTGAGAGTCAAGAGGATGATACGGCTTTCAAAAATCTTTTTTATATGTTCTGAATTTCATACATACATCTGAACTCCTTGGTCAGCCCTTTCTTCAGCAAGTGAAAGGTAGCTTCAATGCATGTTTCTTCTATGCAACAATTTCAGAGATGATAATTCTGATTCTCCAGAAATAGAAGTACACAGGTAGCAGGATGTATTAAAAGAAAGAGAAGAGTGATTCACAGTGTTAAGGTGCAGCTTTCGTTTAGCCAAACACATTGAAATAAGCATGTTTCGAACAGCTTATGTCTCCTCACTGCCAGTTCCCCAAATGGGAGTCATGGGGAGATCTACACACATTCCATCCTTGTGCTTATCATTCCTACCAGGACTGTGCTTTTGCGATAGTAATGATGCTTATTAATCATATCAATTCATGGCGACCAGTAAGCACCCAAGTAGATATCTGGCATCGATCAGATAGTGATCTGCAGTATTTGGTGATTTGGAAGGGAAACTTCTGCTTCCGATGCCTTGCTTTATCTGTCTATAAGCAACTTCTTTATTGCTTAGTCATGGTACTGCCATTACCTAGTCACTGTTTATGAATGTCCTCTTCATGACAATACTACTGCTTTTGACAGTGAGGTATTTGGAGCAGACAAACAGAATATTCATAAATATTTCACTGCAAACTGGTTTGCTCATTTAAAACTGAGATTTAGAATGAAGTTTGTTAGTTAATGTGCCTTACAGAAGTAGAAAAATAAATCACTGCTGTAAAGTATATAAGCATTGCAATGCAATATATGGAACAGCAGATGGAAAGAATTGCTCGTATAGAGAAATATTGTTTAATGTATTTTAGATTTTGTCTTTGCTTTTTCCCATAAAGTATGTATATTCTAGTGAAGACAGTAGGTTAGAGACTGATGGTGCAGAGATTAAAAATTTAGATTTTCAGCTGCACAAATACGATAAGGAATATTGCAGGGAACTTTTTTTTTCTGCACACCTGACTTTCCAACCCATCTTGCAAAGATATTTTGTGCTTTTTTTCTTTAAATAGATTTATACAACATATGTAATGACAGTGTTTAAGGTGTTATGTGAAGTGCTTGTCAAGAGAAGAAAACTCTGTAAAAAAGAAAGTTTTGACATGACAGACACTTTGAAAATATGACAGGACATTGCAGCTGCTTTGCTTCCTCACATTATTCATTCAGAGCTCTCCACACTTTGTTTGTTTGTTCGACAGAATAACCCAACTTGACTGAAATAATCTACTGAAAATGAAAGTTTTCTGGCTTATTTGTTTGAATAAATTTTCTGGTTCTTGGCGGTTGTTCTGCCCCTGTCTTTGGGCAGTCACTGAGCCATCTCACATCAGTCACTGGTAGCTTTTTTTGCTGGACAGCAAAAGCTTAGGCTGATTTCTAGTCCCAGAGGAATGCAGGTCACAGCTGAGCACCTGGGAACCAGCAGCAGCTCTTAATGAAACTGTCTTTGGATTAAAAAAAAATGTTGCAATAAAAAAGTGTGTGATCAAATCAGCTTGACTTACTTTTTTGGTTAGATAGAGGTTGAGATTCCCAAGGATGTGGCAGTGGAAGTGCTTTCTTGTGGAGGCTTACCTGCTGTTTATTTTTTTAAGCATTTTACCATTCATTTTCTCAGCGCACCGTGATTCCTGACACAAAAGTTTTTGCATTAAGCTAAACAAGGCACTAAGTAAGCTTGATGATTTCTGGTAGTTTTTTATGCAAAAAGTCTGCCATTTATTTTGGAACACTAAGAAATAAATGAAATACAAAGGTCTTGTAAGTTTCTATTCAAAGTTTTTTGAAGTCTGTTACTGAAATCAGTGAGACTGGCTCAGCTGAGGTGTGGGAAATCTTTGTTTTGTGACAAGGATGGTGAAGGAGCTGTACTGCAGGATTAGATTAGTGCTGCCAGTGGAATTGGAAACTCCTTGCACACCTCAACTCTGGGGCCAATGAAAAGTACTTGCATTGTAAGGTTGCTTGCATGGCACTTCACAATGCTCTAAAGGTATTGCTTGCCTGCAGAGGATTATGAATAATCAGAAAATTAATAGAATAGATTCCCGAGAGAGTATGTTTCATTTTTAATGGTCTTTTCTTTCAAGACACATTGAATGGTGTTTACCATGGCAGCTACGCCTTTTTCATTTGATTTAGTTTCCCAATGGCTGAGTTAAGATTACCAACTTTGTAAGCTTTCTGCCCGAGCAAGAAAATAGCAATCTTTCAACATGAAAAGTAGTAGGAATATTAAAAAGTATCATTTTTAAACCTTACCATATTAAGACATATTCAAAGAGCACTGTTATCTTTGAATGCAGTGTGCTTTTACATTGGCTCTGCCAGTCATTTTCAGCATCAAGTCTCAAGAACTATTAGAATTAAGATTAGCAGGGTGTGTGTGTGTGTGTGTGTAAACTACGTGTTCATTTCTGTACATCTGCTCTAATCAGAAATCTTTTTATGTTAAGTGATTACTTTGAGGTGAGCTATTTTTGAACAGCTTTTGCATGCAGTAAGGGCTTATGTTTGGTAAATGTTTGTTGTTGTATTCTATGCTCGTAATGTTACTGAAACTATCAATTACAATTCTTTATATGCAGAGCTAGTGGAGTAACCCTGTAAGGTAAATTGTGTTTTAGGTAAATGTTTGAGATCGCTCTGCTTTTTCTTTGCCATCAGTGCACATCCGGTTTAAGAGTGTCCACATGTCAGAGACACATGATGTACCTGTAGACTATTTGACTATTAGAATGTTTACTAATATTCTAATTTTTGAATGCCTTTCAAATTCCACTTAGTACTTACTACTACCTTCAGGATTTCTATTATATGTCTGTTGCAAAACAACTGATTTCTTTAAACTGTTTGTAGGGTTTTTTCTTGTTCCAGCTTGAATGTATGCCTCTATTGCTGCTCTCAGTTATGTCATCATTGCTTTTTACTATTAGCATGCTTCTGCATCTATTTTAGCAGAAGGAGGAAGAAATACTGATAGTGTGTCTGGCCAATATATCTGAAGCAGGGTTTGACTCCATGGTTGAACACAGATGTGCCTGTCTTGTATGCATTTTGTGTCTTCAGATGCTTTCTGTGTTAAACAAATAATGTAAGATGTTTATGGGATTGGGCAAATAATGGAAAAAATTGGTTAATATGTGTTTTGATACTGAAGTGATGGGTGACTTTGAATTGAGATAGATACAAAATGGAGTCTCTGTAATACTTAATGTTAATATATTTTGTAGTTAGTCTTTGAAAGAAAAAAAAACCCACAAAAACAACGAAGATGTAATTGACAGACCTGTCTTGTCAAAATGATTTTCTTTTTCTTGTTTAAACAGCAAAGTAATCGTTTTATTATTCATAATGATATTCAAAATGCTACCAGGCAATCTTCCAGAGTTTCTTCAGATCTTTACTATTGCTATTCTTTCTCTAACCCTGTCACTCCTAAGATTAGAGAATTGATTGGTGGGCTCTGTTTTATTTTTGTTGTTGTTTTTTTAATCATATGTAAATACTTCAAAGGTTTTCTTTGTTGTGTTTTTGAGGATGATATGAAAGGAAAAGTTATAAGACAGATAAAGAGTTAACAGATTAACTGTTATGCCTAGATCATTAAATAGTATTGCCAGTTTTCACTGTGGATGTGCTAGGCAGGTATCTTCAGAGCTTTAGCATGAACTTTAGCAAATATACAGACTTCTCAACTTGTTTATTCATTCTGATAGACTTAGCATAATACTAGTTTCACTGTGTTATGAAATGTCTGGTCAGTATAATTGCAAAGTTATCTGGTTGAATGTGAACACAGAACAGAGTAATAAAAATTCATTTTTCGAAGAGCTCAGTGATGTAGCTAGACTTTTTAATCATTGCTGTGCTAGTGCATCTGTATCTGGTAACATCTGATCTTCTTTTTGAAGTTTTGCCTTCTGCTCGTTGACCTTCTTCAGCTAGATCTTCTAGTGCTATAAATGACTCATTGATGGTATTGCTCAGTCAGTAGTGTAGTCTTGTTCAGGATTTCTGTGGGGATTACTCATGGCTCCCTGCTTTGCCCACTTTCCACTTCTGTTGTTTATTGCATTATTTTACAAGTTTGTAGATACTTTCTTCATACTTAACAGCCAGAATTCTACTGTCCAAGTCTGTCTATACTTGGTTTCATCTGCTGTAGTATGTGCGTGCGGTACCTTCTCTTTTTTCTTTTCAAGATCTACTGTGTGTATTCTTCCTTGTCTCAATCCTGATACTTAAAGTGTGTTAGGTCATGACTTAGTTCAGTCAGTATTTCTGATGCTTTCTCTTACTCCTTTCTTCTTAGGAAAAAAAGAATGCCACTCCTCCCAAAAGAATCTCCTCTTGGTTGCTATGGTCAGCTTGAATCAGTTTTTCCTCCTCCTACTATTGTTCCTTTAGTTATTTCAGTGAAGCTTTTTCACGGTTTATTTCTATCTCCAGCCAAAAAAACCCTGCACAGCTGCTTTATGTATTATCATGTTTTTGGCATCATCCTTGTACAGTTCTACAGCAGTGTAAGAATTATGCTATTATGTTTTTGGAATCCAGCCATAAATGCAATTGTTCAAGCAGTTTTGCTGTTGTATTGGTTGTGTTCTTACCTTTTTTTGCAACAGATATGTTTCATACCTAATCTCGCTTCTGAATAAACTATTTTTACTGCTACTTTGGCACTGCGTTATTGCCCTAATTCATTTTCATTCTATATGGCTAGTCTGATGGCTGCTTGTTGTACCTATTTGGCAACAAAATTACTATGCCAGAATCATAAGATAAGAAATGAGTTAAGAAATCAGTATTGTATCTTCTACCTTCTTTATCTGATTTGAATTCTGGCTACTTTTATTTTGTAGCATTTCTCATATTTTATAGCATGTGTGTAAGCAGTAAGCATGATATGAATAATTAATGTAGACCAGAACTACTTTTATTTTCATCTTCTGGTCTGGTTTTGGCAAATAATTAAACATCAGGGAGTGACCATCTGTTTGTCCATTTCTACAGTGGCTTAGATGACTATGGTAGCTCTGAAAAATTCTTCATTCTGTAGCTGCTCTTCTATCTGTAGCTGCTATGTAAATGCCTAAAATCTAGATGTGTGGGTTTTTTTGTCCCATACTGAGAATATTTCCAAGCTCTCTACAACTGAGCTGTCTGCAGGATAGAAGTTGTCCCAGAATGTTTAAAAAACAGGGTTTGTATTTTACTTAAGCTATTCCTGGCTCACAGAAGCAGAAAAGCTCATGCATGAATAACGTTATTTTGATTTATCCTTATTTGGTTGTTATCAGATTGAAGAAACTATATCTAAGAGTGAGAAGTTGGTCTAAAGGCTCTATAGGTGATAAGGGGCAGTAAGAAATTTGCTGTTTCTTTTTTTCTGAGGTAGATAATGATCTACGCAAGCGAACTTACATGTTTGTCATTTGTGTTTAGGAGGTCTCCACTGATGCCACAGGAACTCTCGCAGCTGCTGAAGAGAGAAAGGAGAAGGTGCCAAGCCCACATCTCAGTCATCTAGTCGTTTTGACATCTGGCAATTCACTCTATGGTTTGGCAGAGAGAGTGGTAGCCACGGAATCCTTGTAGGTTATTTACTGTACACCACTTTTTGTGATCAATGGAATTTTTAAGGAATTGTGATTACAATCCAAAACCTAGCCTTTAAAGTGATTTTAAAAACGAGAAAGAGAGGTAATTTTTAATTAACAGTAGTAGGACATGACTGTTTGGTCTAACCACTTGCAATCATAAATAATAAAACTTTCCTGCAGCTTCTCCAGTAATTTGTGACAGCACAAAGCCAAATCTAAGAGGAAAAAAGAGTTTAGTTTAAAGAGCTCAATGGAGTTTTAAATTGTGTGTGTGTGTATCTATATACACACACACACATATATATATAATGTTTATTTTATTTTTTACATATCTATTTATATATTTGTATTAAAAAATATATATATTATTTTATATATTTAAACCAGTTCTCAGATGCTGATAGCTGAGACCCAGAACAGCTTAGTACATATTGGCTTGGCTGCATTCATGATGTTCTTGGCAACAGGTGGAAGTTTACCTGTGAAGAAGAGATTATAATGAGAGAGTAATGGAAAACTCTTATGAAGTATTTTTTCAGTTGGTCGTCAGAATAGTAGTAGAGTCATATGGGATTTCATTTTGTTTTCCACACAAGAGGACATTGTTAAAGATTAATAATTCATTTTAAAATGTGTTTACAAAAGAGAATTAAATGATTATTAATAAGTGATTATTAAAAAAAAATAAATCACACCTGTAACAAAGAATTTGATCTCATGTTGTGTTTTTAAAGGTTTACTAGCAAACATGTAATCATAATGTTGTTTTTGAATTCTGACATTTCTTTTAGTGTGTACTGGCTTGCTGTGAAGAAATTGTGGGACAGTTGTCCACTGGCTTTTCTAGGCTTTGAATCAGAATTTTGCAGTATATCCTGATTAAAATAGAAAATTGAGTTCTGGCTATTCAAACCTTTTTATTTATTGTATTCACAATCACATTTTCAAATTTTCATAGTTGAGTATACATGTTGATATGCTGGCCAAAAAATGATACAGTTCTTATCAGTATTAAATTTACCAAGATTACATGTTACTGTTGCCCAGTAAATGTAGATAAAGAGAAGTATAGAGGCATTCCAAATGTTTAATTTAGTTCATGGCAAATTTTCTTTATTTTCAAAGGGTATTTCTGGCTGAGCAGTTTGAGTGTCTTCAGCCTCATCTTGATGCAGTGATGCCAGCTGCAAAGAAGCCTTTTCTTCAGCAGTTCTATTCTCAGGTCAGAATTGTGTAATTCAGAGCTAATTTTTTAATGTAACATTTGAAACTTGTACTATATGATGGAAATATTTTTAAACCATAGTTATGTATTGCTCTTAACTAGCCTGAAATTTACTGAATTGAATTTTCTTTTTATTCTATTTCAGACTGTGTCAACTGCCAATGAACTACGCAAACCAGTTTATTGGATTGTTGCTGCTAAAGCCATTGATTATGAACAGATGCTGCTTCTCATGGCTAATGTAAAATGGGATGTGAAGGAAATCATGTCACAACACAACATATATGTAGACTCTCTTTTAAAGGTGAATACTTCAGGAGAAACAGTGTGCTAGAGCACACATGAGCATTAAACTACTGCATACGTCACTAAAACTGTTAAGGCAGCATGATTAGAGCAATATAACATCCTGAAAAATATTAAGTTGTCATAAGAAGATCTGTCCAGAATTTTCATTGTTCTTGCTACTAGCAGAAATAATTAGAGTTTTGTCTTTACTGGAGTGACTATATGCTGGTTAAAGCACAGCACTGTGGTACTCTGCTTCCTCTTGCTCAATTCCTCTTTCAGAAAATGTGTGTTAAATACCAGTTATTTGGTCAGAAACTAGCTTAAAATGGTCACTGAAATCACCAGTTTAGTGGTTATTCTCTTGTTTGTTTGCTAGGAAAACAAACAATAACAACAAAACTATGAGATTCTAGCATTGGAATGAAAGCACTTGCTTGGACGAGTGTGGCCTTCATAGTCTGCTGTACAAACTCTGATGGTTACACAGAGTTCACTGTCGAGGTCTCCTTTATGTTTGAATTATTAAATATCTTTTTAAATGTGATAGAAGCATTAGTTCCTGGCAGCCGACTTCTATTTCTCTTTATGTAAGTCACAAAAAGCATTGTAGTAGTAATTATGTTCAGTTATGGCTAGTTTATCACTTATAATAACAGCTCAAAATTCATCCAGTTCACTGATGTTTCAGGTGGAAACAGCTACCTTTCTTCAACCTAAATTGCAATCTAGCATTGCAGTATACTGTTGGATTTGGTTTGTTTTTTAGTGGGTGCTTTCAGCTCTTACTGAAGCACTTGGGAATTTTTTAATGCAAAAGGCTGAAGGATGAAAAACGATTGCAATATTTTTGAGGTTCTCCCTGAAGGCTGGTGGGGCAGGTTTTTAGATGGATAAAGAGCTTATCGCTGGATTTTCTTCAGTGTCTGTGTATTGGCTTTCAGAAAGTTAAAGATGAGTTTAGAGAGTGAGGCAATGAGAACATTTTTTTCTTATTTTAGTGTGTGTATGTGGTTCATGTTTTCCTTATTTATTTATTACAAGGCATTTGTAGAGTATGATGTTTTAAATGCTAATGGAATTATGATGTTACATGTTTTATCAGGAATTTGAAGAATTTAACAGAAGGTTGAATGAGGTATCTAAGAGAGTCCGTATTCCACTAATAGTCTCAAATATACTTTGGGAGCACTGCATGCGCTTGGCCAATAGAACTCTTGTGGAAGGGTAAGTAGTTCATGAAAGTCTTGGTCTTGAGTAAGTATGTCTGTAATGATAATGCTTATGTCATGGTATTAAAGTTTAATTTTTGTAGTGCATTGGTAAGCTGTTGAGATTTTGAGGATAAAGTGTAATTGTCAACATCTCAATGAGATGCTGGTCTTTTTCTTTTCCAGGAAGTAAGACCATTGCTAGGAAGAAAAGTTGTTAACTTTAGCAGTTACTTTAGGGTAGCCATGGAGCAGAAGTTTTCTAACTTCATTGGGAACAAAGAGGTGTCCTAGTAGACTTGCTAAACGTGAACTGAAATACATTAGCCAGCAGCTTAGCTTAGCTCAGCTTATTCCTAACTTGCCACCGGTTTCCCAGTCTTTTTAGAGTTGGTGTTGTAGTCTTTTCGTTCACTACTGTGCTGTCATCTTCTGCATCACCAAATATGTTCTGTATTCCACTCTTTTTTACTTAATGTTTCCATATTTCTTCCTATGTACGTGGGGTCCTTAATTACAGGAGAGTATGGAAGAATGAGATGGAAAGAAGTGCAACAAGTAGACACAGGGTAAACAATAATTATATTCCTCCTCGGTGTTTGAAGGACTAAGTTAAACAACTTTGAGAAGTAAGATTCATTTTTATTGATTTATTTTTATTTATTTATATTTATTGTTCGTTTCTACTGTGTTCCTTTTTTCAGTTATGCTAATGTGAAGAAATGCAGCAATGAAGGACGTGCCTTGATGCAACTGGACTTCCAACAATTCTTAATGAAACTAGAAAAGTTAACAGACATTAGGCCTATTCCAGATAAAGAATTTGTGGAGACCTACATTAAAGCCTACTACTTAACAGAAAATGACATGGAGCGCTGGATAAAAGAACACAGGGTAAGAGTTAAATTTTCAATTTTTTGCTGTCTTTTAGGAGAATTCCCAAGAATGGTGGAATCATGCTAACAACTCTAAATGCTTAATTCTGTGTGCTAAAAATGATTACACTCATATGTATATATTCATTTGTTATAATAAAATTATATGGTGTGCAACATAAACATATGTATGCATATGCATATATAATATGAAAGTACCTTTATTTGGAAGGAATAATTTTGACAAAAGGAAAATCTAAATTTATTTACCTTTTCTACCAACTACCATTCCATATCTCATTCCATGATAGCATTCATCTCAGGAAGATGTGCTATGAGTTGTAGTTTCTGGCTTTAGCAAAAGTAGGCTATCCGATACTCCTTACACAAGAAATTCCATGTAGGAATTACTGCTAATCTACCCGGTATTCTGAGATGGGTTAAAGCCAAAGAAAACTTTTTTCTACTCCTTAGGCAGCACCTCTGGTCCAATACGGGCAAAAGAAGCAGATGGATCCCAGGCATCTGAAGCCTATACACTCTGTAAAATCTGTTTCATAGTCTCAGCAATGACCCAGACTTTCATGTAAATCAATTCTGAGATTAGAACAGCAGTGAGGGAAAAGAAATGCCTGCATTGGCACGTATATCTGATAAGAATAGTGATTTGATAGTCTTTGTTGTCAGGAAAATTATGTGCTGAAAATAAATTTTAGATCTGACAGATCATAGCTATGCAGTGCTGTGGAGAGCATCTGCCCAATCTACTAATAGTACTGCATTACAGACCAGTGTTGCACTGGAGGATAGAGAGGCTCAGTAGCCCAATAAGTGTTCTGTTTTTTTACTGTGTGTTTTTTTTTTTTGTTTGTTTGTTTGTTTGTTTGTTTTAACCATGAGAATGTAAGATTTCTTCAGAATGCACCTATCTGTTATTTTCAGACATTGGTTTTGATTCTGAAGATGTTTTTGTTGAAGGTAGTTGATCATTTACAATTTTGAGAGCTAATTGAAGTAATTTATCAACTTGTTCTTCAGATGCTATCCCTGTAAAAGTTGTTCTTTTATGCAAGTGAATTAACAAGGCAAAATCACCAGGGAGTAGGCATAATCCCTTTTTAGTTTGAGCACTATGTAAGTGTACTGTATTATGGTTGGAAATTATCAGTGCATTATAGATGAAGATAGTACAATGTGATTCGAGTAAGAAGTTTTCATAAGATAATCAAGAATCTTACCATAACTCCACCCTAGTATATAAAGAAGTTTGCCACTTGGGCTGGGCTGTTTTGGTTGATTACTGTAGTTCTGATACCACCAAGTTTTTAAATGTGTATGAGAGGGATGAGCATAAGTACACCAAATGCTTCTAGGAATGGGTCTAAGAAAATGATCTGATGTATTTGGGCCCAATTTCCTCTGGTTAACTTCCATCCTTTAGTGAAGCTGAGAATACTTGTATTCTGTTCAGAATATACCAAAGTGAATAAATTCATCATTAGGAAGTACAATTTGAAATTAGGCCTTTAGGAGTGGGCAACTTCAACAAAGCTGTAAGGCAGAATGCATAAAAGTCATTGCTTTTTCTTTCTTTGACAAATAAAACTGAATCAGAATCAATTTTGCTATCTGAGATAAGACTTCATTTGTGTTTTCAAAGCATTTGGCATACTTTCAGGGCAGCATAACCTAACAATTATACTAAGACTATAAGCAATTGTCATGATGTTAGAGCTGGTCCACTGTCAGAATAAGAAGTCTTTTAAAATGGAGCATTGGGAAATCTGTATTTTGGAATTATTTTAAAGCCAACTAGAAAGGGATGAAAAACATTCTTCTGAAATATGGTTTTTATACCTGGAGCTGTGAGAGAGACCGTGAGCTGTGTTTGGTGATCTATGTGGAAAAACTAGTTTAAATTTTTGAAAATGCTAAGGGTGAAGGTAGTACTGGCAGATGTGGGGTTTTGACAGGTGTTAAGAATTCTTGTAATATTTTGTGTCATTCTTTCCTCCTTTGTCATGTACTGAAATTAATGTTGCTTGAAGACCCTGTAGACAGAAGTATTTAGGAGGTTATTAGAAATATAATGCCAGAATTAAAAAAAGATCAAGTTTTGTCACAGTTGTTAGGAAAATGTGGTGTTTAAAACTTATTTCATTTGCATGTGTATCTCTCACCACACCTCCAAAAGAATGGAAAATGTGTTATAAGTTGATTTAGATACGTAACTATTACTTTCTGTGAACTCAATCCAATGCTACTAAAATTGTAGGCATTTTCCATTATATTCTGCCAGGCAGCAAAATACAGTTTTGTACTTCTCTCTCTCAACTATGAAAACTCTCCAGACCTGACTTAACGAACACTTTAAGTCTCTCTTGTTTCCTAATTGCTGCTGTCATTTGAAAAGCCCACAAACTGTGCATATCTGGTTTTTTGTTTTCTGTCTTTATTTACTGTTCTTATTCTGCTTGCCATAACATAATATGCTTTTATTTGCCAGGAATATTCCACTAAGCACTTGACAAATCTGGTGAATGTTTGTCTGGGGTCTCACATCAACAAGAAGGCAAGACAGAAGCTGCTAGCTGCTATTGATGACATAGACAGGCCTAAAAGATAACTGGAGAGAGTTACTTTCCATTTACTCTTGTACCTTTTTCTGTTCATGTGAAGCATGCAGACAGATGACAAATGGACTAATGACAACATTGTCTTAAAAACCATTGTGCATGACTTTTCTTATCAGCATTGGAGACACTCTGAATTGGCATAATGTTCTAAACCATTACTTTTTTAACCTGTAAGAATCCTTTTCTTATGTATTTTTCTGTTTTTTGTTACTTGCCCTTAGTAAAGGGCTGCTCTTCGTGTATCATTGGTGAAGTGTATATTTTGAAAAACTGTATACTGTAAGTAAAACCAAAATCAGAGAGAAACACATTGGCTTAATATATAGTTGATGCTCTTTTTTAATAAAAGGGCTATTTGAAAATATAACGTTTTCCTCACTACCTTTCCCCTCAGAATTTGTGCTTTATTATGGACCAGTGTAAAATGAAAGAAAATGTACATCTTTGAGCAACATATCTTGCATGTGGATTAAGAATATAGATCAATTAAAAATTCTCATGTTGATGTCTTTCATCTTTATATGTATTTAAAAACGTTTATTTCAGAATTAATATAGTTATTTCAAAATTATTGACTTCAGATCAGTCAAGGTAATAAATACTGTACACTAAAACGAGTTATTTGTGAGACTTTATTTACCTCATTTAACAATGCAAAATGATGCGTGTTATAAAAATGAGTGTTGTTCCTCTCATGTCACTTCTCTTTTGTATCCCTACCACTCTTTCCTGTTCCCAAAGCAGTAATACCAGAGAATAACAGATTTTTTTTTGGCTGAATTTTTGGATGGATAATCTTAATATTTTCTGCTCTGCTGTAGACTCCTAGAGTGATCCTGAGCATGTCAAAATTCCCTGACTGGGTATTTGTCCTAGAAATGGATTTGTCAGAGCATTATTGACCACTGAGGCTTTCAAATTTGCCTTCAGCAGAAGAACCTGTGTTCTGAGTACATTTCTACTTTCCTTGCAGTGTTGCTTGTAGATGAGATGCTTGGGGACTGATCAAACTGTCATAGCAAAACAGAAAAACTCTCAAAGTGATCTGAATTAACTTAAATAAAGGCTTTAATATTCATTAAGATTTTTCTTATACTCTCAAGCTCTGTTCCATGTCTTTTGTTTTTCTGTATATAATGTTTTAACTATTAAAAAATTATTATGTAATAAACATTTTTCTAATCTGAGGCCCTTTAAAAGGCAATACACTAGCAATGAGCTAACAGGCAAAATAATTTACGTAGGATACAATCCACTAATGTAAATGACATGATAAACTCTCATTTTCAATACTTGCCATTGCACTGTTTAATTCAAACACAAGAGAATCAACACTTACTGTTAGTCAGCAGCACCAATGAACTGGAAATTGCCTCATGGAATCAGATAATTGTTCTTTCTGTAGGTTAGTTTCATCTTCAGAAGCGATGAATTCTGAGCATCATTGTGCAGTTTCCTTGAAAAGCCTATATATGGTTTTAGAGCAGTAGAATTTACATTTTTAAATATTGACTGTGTGGCATTCATCTCCCTGTTCATCTGTATTTTAAAGGAAATAGGATTTAAAACAAACTTAAGCATCATTCTGTAAAGACCATGCTGTCGTTCTGAGTTCTATTGAAAACTTGTTTGTTTAGCAGAGTGCTTATGTATACAGTGAAGCTGAATCGCTTTTACCCTCATTAAAAAGGCAATTCAAAAAAAAAAAAAAAAAAGGAAAAGTGTAGTTCATTTAAAGTGTGGACTTTTGCGTCAGTGTGTCTGCCCCGAAGTCAGATCCTCAACAGGAGCTCTTGGAAGGAATAGAAATGTGTCAGAGACTGTTAGTGTAAAATCTGTTTCAATTTCCTTCTCGTGGATGAAAGAAGGAATTTAAATAACTTTACTGTAATTGTGGTGAACTGAACGTGGGGTTAATTTCCCCTGAACTATTTAGGTTGCTGTAATTTGTTTGCTCACCAGAAGGTAGGAGTGCGAGCACTGATTGGAATGTAGGGTCAAGGAAGGAGGTGAGCAATTGCATGAGTCCTAGTAAGGGGCAATTTTTGATAACATATCTATAGATGGGCTCATTTTAAGCCCCCAAATAATGGAATGCGCAACATTAAACTTGTGAAGCAATTTTTTGATCTTCTTTCATATGTGCCTCAGAATTTATTATATTCTCTAGAATATAATAAATTGCTGCCCAATATTGATGCTAAGGGATAAGCTACATATAGCTTAATAGCCTTTACATTTCTCAGTCCTAAGTGACTTAATGAATCTGAGTTCAGGCTGAATGTAGAATTGTTAATTTGCTATGAGTTTGCTTATAGCTTCCACAATCTAAAATGACAGTTTTTTTTTGCAAACCATTGATTTTTTTAGCATCTCTGTGAAATAAGAACTTTTACTGCTTTTCATGAGACCATAGTTTAAAATGTCCCTTTGTACATTGTAGAAGGGCTTCAGAATACTTTAATAATGGAGGATGACTTCTTTCAGTCTCCAGGGAGGCTGACCAGCACTGCAGAGGTGGACAATTCATCTGTCAGTCAATGAAAAATTTAAATCTGTTCCTCAGACAATGAGTACTCTGATATTCACCAAGGTCACCTGGAGCAGAGATGAGGAGTTTTCAAAACTCTGGATAGGCAAAGCCTGTCTCTGCCCTGATAACTGTAGACAGCTGAAAGCCTGGCCTCTCAGTTGCAGCCAGTGGTTATGAGTTGTCTGATGAGGCAGCAACTGGGATAAACATAGTGGGAAACTGACTGGTCTGCTTCTGTGACCTGGTGGGAGGTGGGAGTTCTTGTTTCAGTGTAGGTTTTATTATTCAAAACAGAATGGCATTGACAGGAAGAACCATCTTGGACCAGCAGTGCTTCAGTTGGTGGGTTGATATGGTGAGCAGCACCTGCGATGTGTGAATTCCAGTTAATCTGATTAAAGGGCTTGATCTCTCCTCCTCCTTTTAGACAAGTAGCTAAATTTCCACGTAATTAACTTTTTTGGGGTCCTTTCTTCCCGTGTGAGAGGGAGTCTTTTTCCATATGTAAAATGAAAGGCCTGGCTTGCTTCAGATCTGCTTCAGTGAAGCCTAAATGTGAGGTGTAAGTCAGCTTCTGAATGCTTTTTAACATTTCCCTTTTGTGGAGAGAAAGGGAAGCAGGATCAGTGGCTGTCTCAAAGTTTTCTGTGAAAGCTTGGCCTCGCCTTGCAGCTTACACAGATGTGAATGACAAAGGCACATCTCATGATAGCAAAGATGGGGTTTATTTACTGCAGGTCTGTGGATGAGAGTTGTGCTTGTCTTACTGCTACGGGGCACAGCTGTAAGTATTTCCTCCTCATCCTGCTAAGGTGCTGTGCTGGGGTCATTCTCCCTTAACCCTCTGCTCATGGTTAATGTTTATTTCTGTATTGCAAACTGTACTTTGATAACAAGAAATCAGAATAAAACCAGATAAAAAAAGAAAATCCCTTCCCCCCCAAAATAACCAGAAGATTAAATTGATAAATAGTGCTGTCCCCAGCTAAATCCTCAAAAAACTGAATGTCAGCAGGCACCTGCTATGTTATAAATGATGCAAACAGAGATGGATAAAAAATGCAGATTTATTGTGTGTGGGTGATAGTATCTATGTTATTTATAACCACAGCTTGAAACAGCATAGCATGAAAGCTAAACATTGCACTAGACACTATGATTATGGTACGAGTATGGAGATAACATAGTTTGCAAACTGCAGAGTTTCCATGCTTACTGGCTATTTAAGGACATTTCTGAATGTCTTCGTTTTGTAGAGCCAGAGCTGCTTTGCATCACGGCAGGGACTCCATTTCTCAATATCTCCTCCTTGAGATCCCAGCGTGAGCTGAAGCAGCATCTTTCAACTGAACTGAAGACCTGGCAAATCTGTGTGTGTTTTTTTTCTGACCTGATGGGTCTGAAGTTTTGGTCTGATTGCATATGTGAAAGGAAAAACAACGTTCAGAGCAGAGAATTTCTGATCCATGTCTTATATTTGTAGATGAATTTGCATAGGTTGCTGGATTTAAATGTGTTTAAATATGTTGCTGGATTTAAAGCTGGCAAACTACTATCTAAATGTGGGTTGATCTTTGAAAAGTAAAATGTGTGAGCAAGCTGGAGATCCAGGAGAAAAGATTCAGTGAAGTGCCTCCTTCATCTGTGCACAAAATTAATACAAGATCAGATATGCAAAAGGACTGTTGGTATTTCTGAAGATTTTTTTATAAGTAAATCAAAAGTTCACAGTTGTGTGCATCTCTTGCACAGTATGGCTTGGTGGGCATGGTGGTGGTGGGTTGGCAGTTGGGCTAGATTATCTTAGAGGTCTTTTCCAACCTTAATGATTCTATGGATATATGATTCTATGATCTCCTGTGTAGTTTTTATTCATGAGTAGGGCTACTCATAATTAAAACTCAATACATTGCTTATGTTTCATTAAAGAATAGAATAAAAATGTCAGCTCATCCCTTAGCGAAACAATTCCTTGTACAGGGATCTGATTAATGTTTATAAGTATCTGAAGGAAGGCAAGTGGCAATGGATGAGGCCACGCTCTTCTCAGTGATGCATAGTGATAGGACAAGGAGCAGTGACCTAAAACTTGAACAGAGGAAGTTCTGTACAACAATTTGAAAGAACTTCTTTATGTTAAGAGTGATGGAGCACTGGAACAAGCCGCCCAGAGAGGTGGTGGAAGGAATATCTCCTTCTATGGAGATATTCAAGACCTGGCTGGATGCCTACCTGTGTGACCTCAGCAGATCATAGAATCACCGAAGTTGGAAAAGACCTCCAAGATCATCTATTCCAACTAGTGGTTTCTCTGCCGTCACTTACATTCATAACAGCCAGTGAAGCCTGGGCAGCCCTGTCCTTAAGCAGAGATGGTGGGTAGGGGGGCTTGTTGTCCTTGCTGCTGTAGAGCATACTGCTCTGAATGCACAGAGCCTGTGGCTCACAGGATGAGTCGAATCAGTCCAGAAGGCATATGAAAGCGTGGTGAGGGCATCATTTGTCTCTGTACAGCTCTCTGTTCTGCAACATGGAACCTCAATAAATGCAAGAACTGCCATTGCCTGACATGGTTATTAGTGCAGTGCTAAGCATCTGTGCATTTTTCATGAGCATGTATTTCTTGAAGCTCAGGAAAATGTCATTGATGTAAATGAGTTTGACCAGGAGCTGCTTCCTGGCCCTGAGCTGCCAACATCCATCTCTTCCAGAGCTGCTGGAATATTCAAGCAGCCAAATGATCCGACCAGCTGAGCATTTGGGCTGTTCTACTTTTCAGCTAGACTAAATTGTTGCTGTGAATAGCAATACCTCATAGCTACAATGCTGTTAGTCCCTGTTCTCCCATGCACACATGATGTACTGGTGTGTCTATGCAATTCAACAGGGCTCTTGTTTCAGGACGCCTGCCACAGCCTTCTGCTAGGAATGAATGAGATCCATTTGCTTTTACTGAGATACTCACTGCTGCATTGTATTGCTTGGAATATCCTCAGCAAGGTGAAGGGCTCTGGGCAATTCTGCCAGTTTGCACAAAGGGAACTTCTGCTGACTGGGGGAAGGAGGTTCTCATGGACTGCACACAGAGTGATGGCTGGAGATGCTGTGTGCCACAGTCATGGACTTATTCAGGCTGGGATTTACTTTCTGCTCTGGCACCAGACATAAGGAAATTTGTTTTGTCTTCCCATGCTTTATTCACCTAGCTATAAAAGGAATTATGCTATCTACCGCTTTTTATGAAGTGCTGTAAGGCTGTGGCTATGTGGGCATGAGCTGTACTTTCTACCAGGAATCAGCGACTTAACCCCTGGGAAGCTGAACCATAAAACTTGGTGGGGCAGAAAACACAAAAACGCTGCCTTCTTTCTGCCTCAGGTCCTTTAGGTGCTGTTTCCTTCACTTTTAGGCAGAAGCAGCTGTCTCCTGAATGTTACTTCTTCTAATTTGGCCTCTGAGTATTGAGGGACCCTGCTATGAACCAGAAAACATTAATGGAACTACAGACGAGACACTCCTATGCTACTCCAGTCATCTGCTACTGCTGGGAGTGATAGCCAGGCAGCCACAGGAGATCAGATAGCCACAACTAGGGGTAAAATAAAAGTGAGATTAATCTTCTTTTTAATGACAGTATGGAAGGATATTAAAAATACATACATGCTCAGGTCCCAGTGGCTATCATTCTGTACAACATCAGTGAAAGCTCACACCTTCCATGTGAACTGTGTCAACAGTGAGACGAAGGAGATAAATGCCCCAGAAACACTGCATAGGCATGGGCTGAGAGGGGCTTTATTGGGAGAGACAAATACCAACAAACAAGATCTCATCTTTACTGTGATGATCAACATGATTTCTAGGTAGCAGACGAATTTGGGAGAGCAAATCAAGGTACTGTTTGCTTGGGATTCATGCCCTTGTGAGCCAAGCCCTTGCCCCTCTGCCTGCAGAGCTTCTTACCACACGGAAGGAATTCAGGAAGCTCCAGGGACCACTGTGATTTCCTTAAAGGACAAGCTGTTTTTCTTAAGGCACTGAGCTATGATATAAATGCCTTTAAGATCAATAAGTATACAGACGTTTTAAAGTATTGGATGATCAGTAAGCATACAGAGAAGTTAGGCTTAGTAAGATTATCACGTTGGAAAAGATAATCAAAGATAAATGGAAAGTGCTACCAGTGTTGCAGGCTCAGAAGGAACTCCATAAGGAGCAGTCTCTAGAGAGAGGTCCTTCCTCACTGGCAGTCAGCCCTTAAATGGGTCTAGGAGAGCTGCAGCCAGGCTCCAGCCCTTCCAGTCACACAGCTGAATTGCCTTCACCTGTGTTCCCAAGGGCTGACTCAGTCCTTGCCTCAGGTAATCAATCAGCAGTTCAGGCCGTGATCCAACAGTTCCCTTACAGCACCAAAATCACTGCACAAAGGAATTAGACAAGGAGGAACACAGACAAACAGGTGAGACTTAAGCATTTGTTTGCTCACAGAAAAACTAGAAAACAAAATTACTGAATGCTCATTTTCTTTACAAATACCTTGCTGCTGTTGTTGCAAAGCCTACTTCTGAGACAGTTCCTAATAGAATATTCAGGTAGAGAACAGAGATGATTTCTGTTCAATGCCTGCCCATTCCTTTGAAAATCTACAACTAATGATGTTCATTTCCTGGGCAA